TGGCTAGCTCTGGGCTCGACCTGATAGAGCGGTCCACGGTGCAAAAGACGTTTGACAGAAACACTCCCTGTACTGCCTTGGAGCGATGAAGTGCTCGACCTCGTGCCTCAAGCGCGATCATTAGGGCTTCGATCATATCAAGAATGAAATGCGACAACAGGGTCGAACTGTCTGGACTGACATCCAAGGGCGTAGTGGCTGCGTTGGCGGTCGAATGCCAGTTTCCATCACCCAAAGAGGTCAGGATCGATGCCAGGGGTCCGGAGTATCCAGTTAATGTGGCCAGAGAGCTCATCACCTCACCCACAAGAGGCACTGATCCGCCATCCGGGGGCAGCATAGATATACCTGCGGCCTTGCGCTTCGTTTCTTCGAGGAGCTCCGAGAGGGATGATTTGGCTGTTTCACGCACAGGCCGCAGCGCCTCGATAAACAAGCTCTTAAGTTCTCCTGTTTTTGAATCGACGCGATAAGACATCGCAGTAACGATTTCTATAATCTCGAAAGCCAGAAAACAGTCCGTCATTAGGTTGGATCGGATGTAGTGATTGAGCTCACGAAGTGTCTGCGAGTACTCAGTCAAGGCCGAGCGACACGTCGCTTGCAGAGCCAAACCACGTTCTCCCCCAGTGAATATCCTCACTATCATATCATGTTCCGTGTAGATGAAGCTCTCCAAGGCATTGGAGTAGATGCCGATGCCATTTGTGCCTTGTCGGTAAGGGCCGTCCGCAGCTCTTCGCTTGACGGTATTCAATGACGCTATAGCAAGGTTCTGCAAACTCGCCGTTATATATGGTCCGCGTAAATCGGAGTATATCTTGAGCGCGGGATTCCCGCCATCTCGTTGAGGCCCATAGCTTGCTGCAGAGGCAATAGTGGCGCACACGGGTCCTAATTCGGTGAGGACGTCGTCGGGGAGTGAGGGGAACGGGAGCTCTACACGTAGTGAATGTTAGCCTTCTTCCATCAATTGGGGATGTCAGATGGCTGCATACCTTTGGTTAAGTAGTGTAATGGCTCGATGGCACCGACATTTTCGCCTAGCCGGCTGCGGAGCAAGTCTTGAAGCTGCGAATTGCCGAGGCTCAGTAAAGAGTTGAAGTCCGTGATTGCTTTCTGGTTGGATCGCAGATTGGTAGAGTTCAAGTCCGCGAGCGCCTTTTCTACACGTCTCACAGCCGAAAGATATTGCGATACTCCGACACTCTGAGGGCTTTAGGGGGTCAGCAAGATTGAAGAAAGTCGGTGGCAGTGGTGTTACTGGAGGATGCATACTCAGAACGGATAATGCCTTCCTCTTGACCCTTGGCATTGAGGGGTTGGCGCAGGCGCTCAATAGCTTCATTGACCTTTTCAATGTTGCTGTTTGTGATCTGGAGGGATTGGGTATTACTGTAGATAGGGCCGATGGCATGCTTGACCACGTTTCCGCCGGTCTCAAGACGCACCAAGGAGCCCTGGATTTTCTTGGTGAGGAGCTTCAGCTTCTCAAGGTTGGCGTAGAGAACCTCAACCTCTGCACTCTCCTCGGCGTATGCGGCGTTCCTTGGGGCGACCATGGCGAAGGAGGACTCGATCGGCCGGTCCCACCGTTAACATCAGACAATCAGGGATTATTCGTAAATGAAATCGACTATGCAAGAACGGAGAGACGTCATTCCTCGCTCATTCAATGCGATAATGCGATACGGGACAACAAGATACGACTAGTTGAGGGGAAGAAATTAGATGAATTTAGATGATCAGGCGACACGTCAGAATTGAGAGCTGACCAACGAGGCACCTGGCCTCATGAAACAAGCATGACAGTTGGTTTAATATAGTTACCTCCAAGCGTTGAGTAAGAGGCTCCGAGTAGGTCCCCTTCTTCGTCTGCCCCGGACGGACACCGGGCGCATTTGCTTGCTTTGCTTTGCTTTGCTGCGTGACTCCGCAATGCGCGCTTGCCTCGATATGGTAATTTCGGCCCGTCTTGCGTACCGGACTTTGGCTGAAGCCCAACATTGATGCATCACATGATATGATGTAATGGAAATGGCTACATTTCCTCCCACCAGCTCGAATCCGTCGGAATGAAGAACGGAACATGGAATTTGTTTAAGTAGTACCTGATCGTCGCGGTCTGGACTCAATTTTCCCCCCCTCCTCCGTTATGGACTTCACCATTGCATGCTGCCCGCCACTGCTCCTCTCATCCTACGGAGTACCCATCTCACCATGGGTGCTGCGAAAGCATCGCGCTTGCATTGGACAATTCCTCCTACCTTTCTAATTGCCCTGGGCGGCGGGGTACTCTACGTCGCCGGTGGTCGATACCTCCCAAATAAGCAACTGCTGCTGCAGGCCGAGCCGAAAGCCCTCTTTTCTACCACTTCTTCCGTCTTCGCGGACAAAGATTCGAAAAAGACCTCACTCAGCGACTACTTGCCAGGGCATGGCTCGAGACAAGACGCGCATCATGACGATGCGGGGTCGATTTGGACCAATATCTTGGGAAAGTTCGAGGGCGTCAAGCTATCAGTGGGCACCCCGGACTGGATTGAGCTAGAGAACCTCAAAAATTACATTATTCCCGATTGGACCCGCTTGCTACCTGCATCGGTGCAGAAGCTCCAGCGGGAACTATCAATGGCCCCTGGTTCCCTTGCCGACGAGATCTGGAAGGAAGCTCATGATCCGGACATCAACCCTGAGATTCTACGAAAGGCAAGAGTCCGGGTCGGGGATACTCTGTGTGACGAAGAACTGGTGTACAGGGAAAGACGACGAAAGTACGCCGTAACAGCCCTTGCGTCCTATCTCAACATCAACGAAGAGGATATTCATCCCGACGATGTCCCTACCATAGCTATGTGTGGCTCTGGGGGAGGTCTACGTGCGCTTGTCGCCGGCACAGGCTCGTATCTCGCGGCCCAAGAAGCCGGGCTCTGGGACTGCGTGACCTACACCGCAGGAGTGAGCGGAAGCTGCTGGCTACAAACATTGTACCATTCGTCTATCACGGGGCGTAACTTCAACAAGCAGGTCGATCACCTGAAAAATAGGCTGGGAATTCACTTAGCGTTTCCTCCGGCAGCACTTAAGCTGCTCACTACCGCACCCACCAACAAATATCTGCTGAGCGGATTGGTCGAGAAGCTCAAGGGCGATCCCGGCGCCGACTTCGGTCTGGTCGACATATACGGCATGCTATTGGCTGCAAGATTGTTAGTACCCAAGGGCGAACTGGGGGTTTGTGATCGAGATCTCAAGCTCTCCAATCAAAGGTACAATCTCACCAATGGAGCGCACCCACTTCCTATCTACACTGCCGTCCGCCATGAGATCCCCACAGTCGAGATCAAGAATGAAGACGGCAAACAGCCCAAGCCTGAGGATGTCATCAAAGAATCGAAAAACGAGGCTTGGTTCCAATGGTTCGAGTTCACGCCGTACGAGTTCTTCTGCGAGGAACTCGGTGCCGGCATACCGACCTGGGCATTGGGAAGACACTTCTACGGTGGAGCCAACGTCAAGCGTGAACAAATATCCCCCATCCCTGAACTCCGCGTGCCGGGTCTCATGGGTATCTGGGGTAGCGCTTTCTGTGCCACTCTATCTCACTATTACAAAGAGATCCGACCCGTGGTGAGGGGCATTACTGGATTCGGCGGCATCGATTCCTTGATTCAGGGCAAGACGAAGGACCTGATCCGGGTCCACCCCATTGACCCAGCCGCGATCCCGAACTACGTCCTAGGAATGAAGGACCTCTTGCCCGCTTCATGTCCCGACTCGATCTTTCAGAGCAAGCATCTCCGTCTCATGGATGCAGGCATGAGCAACAATCTCCCCATCTACCCGTTGCTCCGACCTGGTCGGGATGTGGACGTGATCATTGCCTTCGACGCCTCAGCCGACATCAAGCGCGAGAACTGGCTCTCCGTCGTAGACGGCTACGCTCGCCAACGAGGCATCAAGGGCTGGCCGATCGGGGCCGGCTGGCCGCGCGAAAGCGAAGAACCCAAGATCACCGAGGAGACTCTCCGCGAGCCGCAAAACATCTCCGAGGATGAGATCAACAAGAGGATGAACGCCGCGAAAGACAAGACTTCCCCGCCCTCCTCTTCTTCTTCATCTTCAGAAGACCCCACTGCCACGAACCCGACGCCTAGCCAAAGCACCGACCTGGACTACTGCAACGTCTGGGTCGGCACGAAACAAGAGATGGTCTCCGATCGCGAGCCCCCGCCGTCGAAACGGCTCTTCCAGCCCCGCCGCCACACGAGCAACGACGACAACGAAAACGACCACTCCGACTCCGACTTCCACCTCATGCGACCCGATGCAGGCATCGCCGTCGTCTACTTTCCCCTCCTCCCCAACCCATCCGCCCCGAACCTCCCGTCTTCCTCCGCGCTGAACCCATCCCGCACCCCGACCCGCCACTCGGAAAGCACCACCTCGAAAAAGGTCTCCGACCCCGCCAAGCCGCTCACTCCGTACCCGGGCTCCATCAACCCGGACGTCGACGACTTCCTCTCCACCTGGAACTTCGTCTACACGCCCGAGCAGATCGACTCCGTCGTCGGCCTGGCCAAGGCCAACTTCGCCCAGGGCGAAGACCAGGTCAAGCGCGTGGTCCGGGCGGTGTACGAGCGCAAGAAATCCGACCGGTTACGGCGCGAGGAGCAGGAGCATCGTCAGCGGCTGGCCGGGTTTGTTCCCATCTAGAGATTTCTCTCCCCCCAGAGCATCAACCAAATCACTTTCCTTGATGTATGATGTCGTCATCATAAATTATAAGGGAAAGACCCCCCCTTACAACAGGCGTTCAAGCTTGGAGTTCGCGCATCACTCAGATATAATGGGTTGTTTATTGTCACGGTACAGTAGGGTAGGAGTTGCATATACTGCTAAGTACCAAGCACACTTGTTCTTGATTTCTTATTTACCTCGCGATTTATTTCTTGATTCCCTTTGCCAGGCAGACTATCTTTTGGATCTGCACGTGTACAGTACATAAGTTGCATTGTAATCTAGCTTAGATATCCTTCTTCCATATCCGTGTCTTTGTTCTTGCTGTGTATGTACACAAGCTAGACGCCGGGGGGAGGGGAGGTTGATTTCACCAAGCTTTCAATATACGAACCAAACTGTGGAACACGCAGTGTGTCTGTATGTACAGGAGACAGAATGAACAGAAGAAGCAAAACCAAACACGGGGTATAGGAAGGGTAAAGCACCTTTTTATCCGTATACTTACTTCTAATTTCCCCAGAGAAAACACAGAAAAGCAAATACAACGCTAGGAAACGATAACGACCAAGAGCCGGTTCCCAATACATGCGAGTCGTGTTAACTTCCAAATCACAGGAAAGAAGAAGATAAAGAAATCTACATTTATCTTCACATCTTCGTCGTCTTCTTCAACTCTCCTTCCCCGGACTCTCTCACCTCATCCTCGCTCCCCGCCAGACTGACATCCTTACTCTCGTCCGTCTGCTTGCGTAATCCAAGATGTTTGCCCCAGTCCTGGATCGACGCTGCAGCTGTGGCCGTCAGCTCTGCGGCGATGGAATGGTCGGACGCCGTCGAGGATTTGTGTCCGTGCTTGTGTTTATGGTGGCCGTGGTCTTTTTTGGAGGAAGAGGAACTCAGGTTCCTCGGAGCACCACCACCACCTTCCGCGGGGTCCAGATTCTCCTGTTGATCGGAGTCGGTCGCATGGATGTGCCAGTCCGAGGGCTGGGTTTCGGGGGCTAGCTCCCCGGGTTTGGGCTCGGTGATGGGTTGGCCTTCGTCCGCGCTTGTGGCTCCGTTGGTCGTATGGTCGATGCTACTCCTCTCACCACTACCGTGGTGCTGGGAGGAGGCGTAGCGCCAGACGACTTTGACGCGGTCGAGGGCCTTGACGCCTTTGCGGGTGGTACCCTTGATGCCGTCCAATGCGTCCCACTCGCTTGAAAATAACCCGGAGTCGTGCTCGTGGCCGCCCTCGAAGTAGGCGTTGAACCAGACGTGGGCGATCGAGGTGACCATCGCCCAGCCCGTGTAGGCGGCCTTGCTGCGGCGTTCGAAGTCAATGTTGACGTCCGATGTGGGTATGATGATGGGTTGCCGAGGCCGGAAGATAGCGTTGGAGATGTGCTTGATAGGGTTGTTCTGGGGTTTGGCTGACGTTGAACCAGTTGATGAAGATGTTGTTGTCGGTGTCGCGGAATCGGCCGTGACCGAGGATGCCGGATTTTCGGGGGAAGAACTGCCTGTCGGGGATGATCTTGATGACTCTTCGGGGCTACCGCCGCTGCTGTTGTTGCTGCTGTTCCCCTTCTGCTGCAGCGGGTGTGCGTTTTCATTCTTGCTTTCGGGAAGGATCACATTCACGTCGTCTACGACCGTGCGCTCGGTTTTATGGAATCGGTGGAACCGCTTGATCCTCTTCCCCTGGTCGGCATAACCCTCCACGGCGACCTTGACCCCATCTCGGAGGCCCCAGACATGTACCTCGAGGATTTCAACCGGTCGTTCAATGTACTTCTTTTCCAGCTGATTCGACCACCGATCCACATACCCCACCCAGCGCAGCTGGCTCGGTATGCTGACACCGGCACCGAACCCGACCCTCATGCGGCGCTCCGTGAACCGCTGCAGTGCGTCCTCCGCCTTCCATCCCTCCTGGCTGATTAGGTAGCTGCAGGCGACGGTCCCACTGCGGCCCTTGCCCGCCTTGCAGTGAACGACGGCAACCCTGTCGGGCTTGTCACTTTTTAGTTTGTTTGCGGACTCGGGATCATCCAGTCGGTGGATGTAGTTGCGCATGCTCCCCGTGATGGCGGGGAGGAGAGCAAACGGGGGCGGGTGGTGGTCCGGCCACGGGTAATGATGGATCCGACCATATACTTCAGAATCGGGGTATCCTGTTCCCTCCGCACGGAATTCCCAGATGCACCAGTCGCTGCCGTGCTTGGAGTCGAGGTACTTGACCAGTTCGTCAAGGGGGTTTCTGTATGCGCGTTGCGGGTAGTTGGAAGAAGGACCGGAGGTTGCGATCACTGCGGTGCGGAGACAAGGAGTTGGCCATTAGTGCGGCGATGAGATTTCAGGGGAGTCCAGGTATAGCATACAGTTGTCCGTCACGTAGCAGAGATCCAAGCCTGCTTCGGGATGCTGCTGTCTAGGACCAGCGACAATCTGTCGTAGGATCGACGCCTGCGCCGGGAAATTATGTCATGTCAGGTCCCGTGTTGGCATGCCAGGGGTGGGGGAGGGAGAAGGAAGCTCAATCCAAGCTGAGGCGTACCATGAGATTCTAAGGGGAGATTTTTACGTGCTGCAAAGGAAGGGTCTGGCTCAGAGATCTATCTCTGGTGATATAAAAGAGGACATGCGCGTCTCTGGCCTGGTCATTGGCAGCGCAGATAATTAATGATGCGTGAGGTAAAGCACGCACGGGCTTCAACCTGGTGATGATCTCCAATTTCTGGGGACCCAGGAGAGATGGAGATATTCGCGAATGATGACGGCTTCCATCCACCTAGTCCAAACAAAAATGATTGCCACAGCGGAATGAACAGAGGCTGTGCAATTTTCGGTGTGGAGGAGGAGATGAGGAAGGAAGGAGAGCAACGGGTGATTGCAGGTGTTGACGGCGATGATGTCACCGGATGACTTCCCTCCATTCGCCCCTCATCAACTGGCATGCAGTCAATGCAACCAGTCAATTGCCCACCCGAGTCTAGACAATGTCCATAAGCATGGGAATTACTGAGTATGAAGTAACTTGAATGCTTTTTTCATTCGGTTGGTCATAAAATTGTGTCCTGCATTAGCCACTTTTTGCCCATCATGTAACCAGACATTATTAGGTAAACAACCCCTATCCCATATCAACAATACACAACAACAAAGAAAAAAAAAACAGACATGATAATCATATGATACGAAAACAGTTCGTATCCCACACCTCCGTCGAATTACCCTCCGGAGGGTAATATCATCTTCAGCAAACACCAGGCAGGGCGGGGAGATTGGCTTATCTCCTACTTCTTTAAGCGACTCCATACTCCTCGGTAACGGGGATTGTAAACCGCGGTGTCGAGGAGGTGACATTAGTCTCTCCGAAAGCAAAGAACTCGGCATCGCCAGGGAGGATCCATTCATGTTCAGCCCGAACATTCCACAGCGGATACGGCTCGGCTTTGACGCGGGACTTGATCAAAGGGTTCTGGCAGGAGACGAGGTCGTCGGAGCTGCTATCCGTGGTCGTACCAGAGCAGGTAGTATTGAAGCCAGGCGTGTTCTTGGTTGCCACACCGAGGATGTTGAAGTTGTAGACGCAGCCTCCCGGCGAGCAGCCGGTGGTGAAGTTGGAAACGTGCCAGGTCAACGCCGCGCTGTCACGGCGACTGGGATAGGAGATAGGCGAGGCAGAGGTAAGGCTCAGGGCGGAGAGAGCAAGACCGAGCAAGGGGGTGAGCTGCATGATGGTGGGAGTAGAAAGTAGATCGGATGAATTAGGTTTGATCAGATCGGTTTTTAATTGAGTCCTTGCGCCTGGCGACAACGAGGTATATATGTATGCAGGTGGGGTGGGTTGATATGTTTGACAAGCAAGAGACAAGCACCAACTTCAATAGAAATTAAGTATTACCAGTAAGTGCTGAGCAAGTATGAAGATAGGCAGAGGAGGAAATGAGAAGATGGATGAAATCGTGATGAAGAAAGGGGAGGAGAAAGAAGAATGTAGCGAGCAGCAACGGCGACTTGATATAACCCCGGTTCTGCTGTAGCGACGGCAGCAGCGTTGGCGAGGAGGAACGGAGACTGATGGAGAGACCCCTCGCCTCCGTCTGGAGCCGATGTTTTTCTTTTCTTAGAAGCTGCAAAAGCAATCCTGATGCAGCGGGAGAGCATTTCGACCCCAACAGTGGAGCGAAGCGAGAGTAGGTGAAACGAACCACTGGCAACAGGGACAACTCATTGGCCCGAGAGTGGCTGATCGCGCGGAATTTGAGCGAAGATCCCTTTGGTTGCCCACCTGCATCGAAGAACAGGGAGGAATGACTTGATCTATGAGGCGTTTAGTGTGTGACAGACCATGGTTACACAACTGACGGTGAGAGAAAGTTTGTGCTTAACAAGCTGGAAGAAGATTCGACCATGTTTTCGTCCCAGTGTGGATGTAAACCCTTGTGAATAAGGTACTGTGATTATAGTCATCCTGCACTGTAAGTTACATGATACAAACCACTGAGCCCTAATGTAGTTAGCCAAGAGGCACCCAATATTATAGGATTTCGACCAACCTACCACAACAATAACTTGTTAGGATTGTTTAACTAACTATTCACTCTGTACACAGTAAGTACGGAGTACGGAGAGACGGCAAAGACATCAAACCATCAAACGGGTGGTCCCAGCGGGAACTCCGGGCGCATTAATCACCGGAGGTTTGACCATGCGACGCCCGCCGTCTCACATGCAAGCTTAATTCTTCGGCCTCGGGGAACTTCCCCAATCTTCCTGTTCTTTCGCTCCTAAACCTGTTCCTAATCCTCCTGGAACGTCTCTCAGCTACTCCATATCCGGAGTACCAGGCTTATTTCTATGTTTAGACAACTTGATCGATAACTAAGGGGTTGGGGTCTAGTATAGATTGGCTCGTTTCAAATAGCTACTTGCTTGCTGCTATTCACATCTCCGATCCATCATCAGCTAATTATCTCATCCTGCGTATCGAGTGAGTACTAGATACCTTATACTACAGTATATGGTAGTTCTACATATCAAATTTCACTCTTTGGAATGGCTTGCCAATGCTGGAATGTGACACCCCATAGAACTCTCAAGATTGAATCCTTACTTACATGAATGATACAACTGTACGCTTCGAGGTGATGTGAATTTACGCTCATCTAGAATAGTGAATCACTTTATCATAGAGGGTCTCCTTGAATCTGACGTCCTGGGGTAATTACATAACTCAAAATGGCCCCAGACCATCTCCTCTCAACTCTCTTCTCGACAACTCTTACGCCTGACATAAGGACCACACTATCCTCCATCTCCCTTACACGTCTATACTTTCTTCGAGTAGCTGGACTGACAAGACCCTTTACTTTGAACCAATTCATAGATGACTCGTGGTTGATTAACATTTTTGAAGGCACAAAGAACGATCTTCTTCTTGCACAATCTCCGTTGGACCAACCTCGGTCACGACCGGAACAGCAGTATGCTTAAGCTTTCCAGGGCCGTTCTGCTTCACTCATCGGCAATTCTGATTCTCTGTGAGTAAAGGCAACGAAAAGCCTTCTTTTGCGGCTCTAATCCTCGCCCTATTCTCAACATGAAGCCTCTTATGCCGCTGCTACGATGACCCCTATTGGGATAACTTCTGACATAGTGCCACACAAGGCCACACAAAGAACAATGACACATCGTGGAGATCCAACGGCTCTCTTGAGAGCATCCCCCTCGGAGTGTATCTACTTAGTTTTAACATCATCATCATCAATCGAATTGATTATTCATTCGAATCGTCGTCCTCGTGTTCTCGTTTTCAGTTGGTGCTCACACTCGGACCGGATCTCGTCCAGGACATCAGCATTACCACTTTGGTCCGGGAGTCGCACGGAGGACCGTTGTGACGCGGGGCCTGTGGGCTTATCAGGCGAATCAGTGTCATTGCGAAGCCATTGAAGGTACAAGACCGAAAACCCCTCCCTCCTCTGCGCTCTATTCCTTATATCTGCAGTATAGAGCCATAGCCCGTGAAAATGTGATTTGATTTCGGGATGGTTGCGAGCCAGCAAATCATAACCCTCTGGCAGACGCAGAGAGAATGGCATACGGACAAGCGCTCACAATATCAACATCGGCAACTGAATAGCAATAAGACTAGAGCACGAATAGCAAGCCTTCTATGTGGCGCGCAATCCATCATGCGCAACTCAGCAAGCCCAAACGGACTACTGCAGAAATTGGACCGGCAAGCATCATCTGGGTTTCAAGTTTCGAAGCGGCGAAGATGGACCCAGAATGGCAGAGGCTTTGCAGACTGTGAAAGGTGCAGACGAGTTGAAGGAATGGTTGCGTTCCGATCTATTCAAGCCCCATCTTCACAAAATCTACTACAATGCCGTATTGCCAGCGCAGGCAGCGCGCGAAACCATCACACGAGCCGAGGCGTCCTGAAATGACAGCAGACCGATGCATCTGTTGTTACTGGCATGGAACGTCACACCTCCTAACCCCCCATACTCACAACAAGCCTTCCCACCTTCCACCAGTAAATCCTGCCTTGCCACAGCACAAAGTCTTATGCTCACAGCTAGCATTATCTCCTGGCTTGAAGTCTCTGCAAATTCTAATGGCCATTGAGCTATTGCTCTTCGCAAGGCTGCAAATGCCTAAGAGGCACGGGTTATGGCAGATCATAACCTTTGCTGCATTGCCGGGTCTGAACTCGGATTGGGCTCAGCAAGACCGGGTCTGTTACTTTACTAAGAGAGGTAGACGATCGACACCAGTTTATGCCAGCAACAATGGCAAAAAAACCTCGAGTCCCAGAGAGAGAATCATGAACAAGCCTGATTCTGCCCTTGGCATGAAAGACACCCGACCTAACGTCCCTCCAATGCCAGGGATGCGAATCCAATGTGCACTCCGCTTCTGGCAACCCGTGGCGATGCGATACATGCTCTCACCGAATTTGCCCAAGATTGAAATCTCACTGTGCGTGCTATCTTGGCTGATCCAGTGGGTCTAAGGAAAACATGGATCGGAACAGGGTACCTTTTTTCAGTCAGTCCCCCAAGCCCCTAAGTAAAACGGCATTCAATGTCATCGAGAGAAATCAACAAGCTTATTAGCTTATCAATGATGTCTCAGAACGACAGATATAAACTTTCCCATGTGGCTTGGCCACCCCAGGCGAAAGGTTACTCGGAGGAAAATGAAATATGCAGTGCGCATCGTACCTACCCGTACTGTGTCTCAGGTACCATATCGTGGATAAGATACCACCATCCTCCTTGAGATGCTTGGGATGGCGTCAAGGAATAATGAACTTCTTATGAGCATGACCCAAGAACGGGAGTAAATAATAGAGCAATGGAATGTTATTACCTTCTATCTCAATGAGCAAGTAGTAAACCAAAGCCTCCAAGCCCGACCATCCATGAATTCGATTGTGCTCTTACTTCCCCCTTTTCATCAAAGGGTACTGATGAATATCTTGCTGTAATTCACGCACCATAGCACAAGCGCAAGCGGCAGCAAGTTGCTTAGTGTAGGTATAATACACCGGGACCATCCTTGGCTTCTTAGGGCAAAAACGCGATTATCATAGACGCGAACACCGTCAGCGCGGTGCAGACCACGACCACAGGAGTGAACTCGGGAGTCTTAAGTTCATTTCCCGAATAACGTTCTCTTGCCGGTACTTACTTACTCGCGTGAACTACTCCAGCAAGCCTCTTTTGGCCGTCATCTGGAAGACTAAGTTGTGACAGTCATTATACAACAGGCTTCATGGTGGTTCAATTCCTCGGAAATCGGAAATGACTGATGTCATGGTCCAAGGGGGCCAGGGTTTTAGCCCCCCTCCCTCTCTGCTCCATTTTCGTGCATTTATAGCATGTATATTTACATGTACTGTACATGGTGTGATTGTCAAGATCATCTCTTGTGTCGGGTTGCAGTTGACCAGACTCAATCCAACTTTGGATCCTCTCCTTTGCTGCGTATCAGCTGGTCCTCGGGAATAAGACCGCCCGGCTCGTAGTCCATCCAGCCTTCCTCTTCCTGTGCGCGCTGGATGGCCAGCTGCCTCCTCTTCCTCTTGCGCGCCTCCTTCGACGCTTGCCGCCGCGCATTTTTCCACAGTTCCTTCGACTTCTTCGACCAGGTCACTCGGACAAAGGAGGGTCGCCACGTCAGGGTGGGATATCTGGGGGAGTCCCGCCAGGGCACGTCGTCGGCGGGCTCTTGGCTCAGCTGTCGCTCACCACCACCAAACTCATGGGCAGCGTTTAGCTCATCCACCAGGCACTGGACAGAGCCATCCTGGATCCGGGGATGGCGTCTCAACTGGACCGCGTACGGATCCCGGGAGTGAGAGCAGACTTCCCGAATGGCGGCGCGGGTCTCCGCGCTCGGATTGAATCCCCGGTTCAGCAGGTCCTGGAAGTACATATACCCGGACTCAAAATTGTCCGCGTCCAGACACATCATCGTCAGGTGCTCGAAGGTGGTCCCATCGGGGACGACGCCCAGCGCTGCCATCTCGTGCACCACGAACATGCCGGCGTCACTGTCCCTTGCACGGCGGCACATGCTGATGAGCATGTTGAAGACGGAAACGTCGGCCTTCTCCGAGCAGAGATCGTACAGTTCGTTGTACAGCGCGACACCGTCTTCGACTGCGAACGGATCGTGGAGGGCCTCATGCTCGCACAACTCCAAGATCGCCGCGGCGCAGCCGAGGGGCACCTCGAAATTCGCGGCTTTGAGTTTCTTGAGCATGGCCCACGCGTCATGGGGGACCGTGTCTTTTCGGATCATGTAATCGAGCACGGCCCGCGTGGAGCTTCGTTCCAGCGCGATGCCGGCTTTGTGCATCTTGCAGAGAACCTCAAACCCGGCGTAGAGGTCCCCAGACACCACATAGGCTTCCACCATACTTTCGTAGTCCGAAAGAGTGACGGGGATGTCTGACTCGACAAGGAAGCGGATCACAGATGTCCCGAGGGCGACGTCTCCAGTGCGCGCCGCAGCCGCCAAGACCTTGCTGCAAATCTCGTGCGGAGGCTGCAGGTACTGCAGCTCCACCATGCCCCTCCAGATAAACCAGGTAGTCTCGTAGTGAGAAGCCTCGCTGGCCACATCCAAGACATACAGGCACAGCTCGGGTGTCATGTCGAGGTGTTGATCCGTCCGAGAGCGCATCAACCGGAGCACCTCGTCGAACTCTTGGTATTCACAGAGATAGTAGACGAGCATGTTGAACAGCCAGCTCTCGATTCCCACCCCCTTCCGCTTCATCTGATCGATATGATCCAGAGCCAATTCGAATTGGTGTTCTCGAAGCAGCCCAGCCACCACGTAGTGCCACCCCATTGGACTCAGCGGGAGCCATCGTTCTCGAAGTGTGCGTATTATGTCTTGGCGCAGCATGTAGTCGGGGTGGACAGCAGATACCTAAGCGCAAAACCAAAGACTGTCAGCGCAGAATTCAAGACGGGGCCTGCTTGGATTTGTGGGGGATTTGGCCGGTACATACCTGGAGAGCAGCGTGCAGCGTACCCGAGTCCGCCGGTATCCCATTATCCTCCATCTCCGCTAGTAAACTGCGGACCGTATCTGTTGACCCGCGCATCGCATCGGAATGGGCGAGGACGAGAGCTCTGTAGTGCCGCGTCTGCGGGGGTATCTGGCGGTCACGGACGAGAATACGCAGTATCTGCGTGGCACTTTGGATCCGGGGGTTTTGGGATGTGAGCTCCTGCAGCCTGGTTTCCAAGCTCTGCGTCATTATCCCCGCGAGAGTTTCTGGGGCGTCATCGGCGGCATATGTCGTTGTTAGGTCTATTGAGCGTCTTGCGCTTCCTTGTTGGTCATGACCATCCCCATGCTGCTGAGAGGTTGCTTGGTCGGGGATTGAGCGAGGTGTTTGCCCATCGCCTAAATGTTTCTTCGGGGCATTTGAGTCGGGATGTTGTTTGTTGAGGTATTGTCGAATTGGTGTATTCGTTTGGGGACCGAATGATGAATTATTTCGGCTAGAAAACCGCCGGGCTCCTTGTAGAGCAGTTCTGGCCCTATGGAGGGTATTGAAATTGAACGATGGACACAGGCAAAACCACAGTCCGTCCAGAACAAGATTCGTTCGTGGCATTGCGAGCGCTTGGAGAGGCGTTCGCAGTCGACATCTCGAGATCGAGAAACAAATTACGGGAGTGCACGTGATCCCAATGCTAATCGGGCATTATTATGGGGGATGATGATAAAGGATGGCGATAGACCAGGACGAAGCAAAGCCTTCACTTTTTGCTACTCGGTATGTATTACTTTGAGACAACCTGAATCTCAGAACCAGAAAAGAATTGAATAAGAAGCAGAAGCGCCCAGACGGCGCAATTCCCATTTGACAAATACAACCAGATACGCCAAGGCCATGCTCGACTGTCAACCGCCAAACGGACTTCCTCCTAGCGATAGCTACCTGCTTTAACAACAACTTTCAATCCCCGGGGTATCTTTCATGTCTCTCTTCTCATTCTTTTCGTGAAAAAAACAAAAGGAATTAGGATCAGATCTCTAGTTGCCGCCCCGACCCCGACCGCGGCCACGACCCCGACCACCACCACGGCCTCTGTCGCCCCGACCACCTTCGCGTGGGCCACGGTTCCGGTTCTGCGGCTGGTTCTGCTGTTGTTCCTTCACCATTTCCACAATCTCTTCGGGGATGCGTAGGTATTTAATCTATGAGAAAGAGGGGGAAACGGTCAGATGTTGAAGACTCGGGGGAACCGAGCCACTGCTTGGCTCCTTCCGTGGGTGCACTCACGTTGTTTCCTCTGACGTAGACTTCCGGTAGGCGGAAGAACTTGTCTCCCTCGGGACTCGTCTGGACAACTTCCTTGAGTATGAGGTTCATCCAGTTGTCGCAGTTGGCGAGATGTCCATTGAGCGTCTCGCCGTTCTTGAGTTCGACGAGCATGGGGTGGCCCTGCGCGGCCGTCAGGAGACCTAGAGGCAACTATTCACGGAGTCAGCAGGGTTCAAAAGTACAGAAAGGATCAATTGCGGCTGGAGTGGTTTACCATCTCTGGAGACTGTTCAGCAAGGTAGGATATTGACTTGATAAGTGGAGTGGTACGCGTTTGCGCAAGCGCTCAATCGATGGTCTGTAAATGTCTGAGACCGGCAGATTAGATTTGAGTGTGAAAATGGTGGGAATCAAAGATCGCAATGTGAATATTGAAGCAAGAATTACAGTTAAGATGTGGTAATGAGCGCGGGCTGGAAGAGGCTCCGCATGAGCTTCCATGCTGTGGCGGTGATCGCAGCCCCGGGCCAATCCGGAAAAACATGGCCCCGCGATTGGCCGGCCAGCCCTCATATCTCCTTAAGAGTCCAGTGACCCTGGCTTAGTTCCATTGTCTGTGTCCGGTCGTCTTTAGTCTGTTGTTCCCCCCAAATACAATCAATTCGAAGGATGCGCTTTTCTCCTCAACTGCAATGCTTATGCTCCCTGAGATAACCAATGGGATAGCTTATTATTTCTCACACAGCCTCATATATTGAAGATATAACCAAAGTGTTTTTCTCGGACTCAACTATATACATCATGAGTGACAGGCGTCGCATCTCCACTCTGGGCTCCGTATCCCGATGGTCAGCATTCATGATGTTTTCCCTCATCACCGACTATACAGTCGAGGGGGCTCCTATTGCTCACAATAGCATCGACCACTCCTTCCCAACGCGTCTCAGTCAGTAGTTTCACACCGTACCAGCAACCACTCATGACAGGATTCTAAATGTCCCATGTAGTAGACAATGCAGCCGCGACCAAGATGACTCGGTCGCTATGTCTGGCCGAAGACTCCGACCGGAGCTGCGGCTTGCTCAGGAAGATCTCCGAGTACAAGCAGCAGGTGTCCATCACGAAGCTCGTCGTGCTCGCCTGCCTACTTGCCGTATGCGCCGTGGTCTACCGGATCTGTCTGAACACGATGTACTGTCAACGCCGCCGGGTCGACCGAGCAGCGCAGCGCGAAGAGAGGAAAGCTCGCCGGGCCTACAAGGCTGCCGCACGACGGCTCCGATGGCATCGCTGGTGGGAGAGGAAGCCTACTGCTGATTCGCCAGCTCCGGAACCCGAGAATGAACTCTTCGTCATAGACATGCCGCCGGAAGAGCCCGGTCGAATGCAGGTGGGCTCGGACGCGGCTTCTCTGCCCGGAGCCATGCAAGATGAACTGCAGAACTTAAGACAGACACTTGCATGCGTCGGGAAATTGATCGGGGCGGAGAACATCCAGAGCGCAACGCAGCAGGATCTGATCCGACCAGATGGTGATCAGATACCAAGCCTGCATGGTAAGCGCCGCATGTCCTCGGAGACGCTCGCTACGTCGACTGTCGGATTATCGACCATCACGTTTACTGCGACGAGTAGTCGAGTGAGCCATGGGCCTGGGTCCTCTAAGACGGTGAAATCAGGGGACACGCTAGATTCGGCCCCTCCACCTAGCTACAGATCATGATCTGCACATGATGCACCTACAGTAGTACGGAATGAGAGATCATATATTCGGCCATGGCTCATTGCAGAAATGGTTCCGGAGAGATCATAAAGCTTATTAGTACATTGACCTGGTCACGGGTTCACCGATCAAGGACCAGTCGTGCGCGAACGCTACGCTGTCTACGCCTTCGGTCGCTTGACAGGCGAGTCCTCCTCCTCCTCGTCGTCCTCGTCATCTTCCACCGTGAGTTTTCGCTTATTGCGCTGTACCCTGGAGCCTTCACCCGACTCATCCAAGACGTCGTCACCCAGCTCTTCTTCTCTGGCTTTCAGCTCCTCTTCGCGAGCGTTGAATGCTTTGAGTAGCGCTTCATAACCTTCCTCAACATTGGTGACCGTCTCCTCCAGCTTTTCAATGCGGTCGCTCAGATCCAGTTGGATCAAGAGGTCCCGAGAGCGTTTGTAGAGACGCTGTTTGGTGAGCATGCGCCACCAGTAGTACCGCCGATCATCGGGGTCATCCGCATTGTGCTTCTTGATCAGAAGTCGGGCCATGTTGCTTCCGCCAGCTAGTCGCTTCTTAAGAGGGATCTGACCCAAGAGATACATTTCCGAAATATGAGCGAATTGAGTGGAGTCGATTTTGAACGAGGAGCGGATCTCTGAGAGCAGCTTGGTCGGAATCAGGGCGGATGTGGGCACGCGCCGAGGGCGGGGCTTCTTCGCCGGTACTCCATATGGGTCTGGATTGATGTTCAGCTTGTGCTTCTGGAATTCTGGGCGAAGGATGTGGTAGTCGGCGGTATCGCGAAGGGCATCAAAGGCTTCATTCGGGTCCTCAACGGTCAATTCGGAAATCGTTGGGTCGCTAATGCAGGCACTGTGGATAGTCGTATACAGATGAATACCGTGGCCCGAGCCTTGGTGAGGAGGAAGTATGAGGAATTGAGCGATTCGCAAACGCGACGGAAGCTGAGCGGGTCTGATCGCCTCAGCCGGAGGGAAAGGGCTATCTTGGACGGCGGGCTTTTGTGTCTTGTCTCTCTGGTAATACCACCAACGATACGTTGTCGCATATCCGACAATGGAATACTGTGAAGCAGTGGGCACTGGCGGCTTGACCTTCTCATAGCTGAAAGCGTTGTTAGCATGAGAAGCGAATGCTGGGGACCAGTTATGAAGATGGTAATCAAAACGTACACAAAGTAGACCGTCCATCTTTCCAGCGTCCATTCGGGATCATCCGTGACAATGGGCGTTCCAGCTTCGATGAAGAGTGAAACAAAGACTTGCGCGCGATCCAACAGTCGTCGCACCTCCGGATCGGCTAAAGACCCTGCCCAGACCTCATATGTTCTCTGTCGGGTGACGTAGCTGTGAACTAGTTTGCCTGGAGGTACAAAATCCTTGGCGTCCTTGTCCTCCACGATAGCCTTCTCATAATCCGGGAGTACAACGAAAGCCTCTGGGAAACCACACAGTTGAAGTTAGAACAAAAGAGCTATGACGCCCACGAATCCGGCAGATGCCGGAGGGGGCAGAGATATGGCATGTCACTTTACCTTCAGGAATCCATGGCTTCAGAGTCTTCAGTAAATCGACGGCGGCGATGTCCCCCACGGGCTTGAACTTCTCGTCGTAGGATATGTGAATATGCGGGCGGAGGTCGTGGGCGGCGAATCGCAAGCGGATAATCAGGCCCTTGTAGCCGAAGATCTGCTCTTCATCGCCGAAGAAAGGGTATGTGAATTGAGGTTGGAAGTCGGAGAGAGACTTGAGTCTCGCATCTTCGGAAGGTTGGACTAAAGACAGGTGGAGGGCGTCATTGGCGTCGCAAGTCCCTGTAGAAGCGGGTTTTTTGTGGTCAGTAGAGTGGGTGGCAGAGGGAGAGGGGAGAAGGGGCCTTCATTACAGTCGCCGTCGCTCGCCATGATGCCAGACTTGTAGTTGAGGAAAGGTTTGAGGAAGCGATGAGCTCAAGAAGATGGGTGGAAGAAGGCTACGGTAGGCTCTCTCGTTCTCTCATTAATTGCATTTCGAAGGCGGCGCGTGTTGCCCGAATCGATCGCGTTGCGCGGCGGAGCTGGGTATAACCGTTTCTGGTTTAGCGCGTCGAGGGCCAGAGTGAGCTCGGCTGCTGTGCTGAAGAAGTGAATGAGGATTACTTTTGCCATTACTATGATTATGGGGCAGCTGTACAGGTGAAGAAAACCTTCGTGTATCAAGTGGTGCAACGTGCTGGGATTGATGTCCTCGTTGCAATCTGTACCTTCCTATCATATGAGCACCATGTTCTACATCTTGACCATGCATAACCTCGGCTCCTACTTTTGCACTACAATGTATGCCATCGCGCTGGCGAAAACCATCTGAAAGCTGCTTCATCAGCAGTCTGCATCCTCATGGTTGGTCTGACTACTGACAGAATACATGAGCCATGAGAATATAACGAAAGATTGATCCAAGGATTATGGAAGATAGTGTCTTCGCTTCACAATCCTCAGCAAATCGCATTGCTAGGCCTTGGAACTATTGGTATATCTACGGCAGCTCTGCATCTTTCTCGTAATAATACAATCAGCAACACGCTTGACATAATGCTCGTTTCTGAAATTGTATGACGGAGACACCTTCTAGATATTTGAGTTAGCACCCACTCGCGGCTGACCACCTTACCGCTGATGACAGGGCTGCGACATATGTGGTAGAGTCGCTCATTTGCGAAAGATGTTTGCAACTCCAGTCAATGTTGAAGAGTGTGCGCATATCAGCCCCTATTGCGCAGGATATTACTGCAGGGTCTCGAGTTGAACAGAGCCTCTGGGCTCCAGCTTTTGCCCACTTGAAAACCAGTATGTTGGGTATCGCCGCGTCCGCTTAATGACTCAAGATGTGAGATGGAACTCGTTTGTTGGTGGCTCACCCCGTCAATCTAGCCCATATTATGCCGTTGCTAAGAACAATTCTTACCCTCAAGACTCTGCCCAAGCTTGTTGAGTTCGCGCGTGCGTGTTTCTCTGTACCTGGTTCAAGACATCGGCCAGTGGTTACTCGAAAAGAAACGCCGGACTTTTGGGACAAGCGGTTGGTATTTGTGTTACTGAGAGGGGCAAGAATCTGTCGTCGATGCGGAGGATCTCGATACAATCTTGGTGGCCAGTCTTGGTCTACCCTGAGATGGGCTGGGAACAATATCTTCGAGAACTACCAACAAAGAGATGGAGAAGGTGGCATTGGAGCCTTCTTCTAAGCACACTCGGTGAAATCATGCGGGAGATATGAGATGAACCAAATTGATGCTTGAGGCAAAGCAGGGCCCGAGTGGAATGATTGGTTCTCCCAAGTCAATCGCGTATGCAAGGCAGAAATAAAGCTCACTGAACGCGCGACTTTATGAGGATTGGGAAAGGATTGTATCTATGATCCGAATGCCTATACGGAGTACAAATAATTAGTGCACTCACTGCATGTAAAATGGGTGTCTCCAATTCCGTCATTCCATCCCTGAGCGGTGGGTCTTCCCGTGTCGCTTGACTGGGCCCGGGCGTTGTTCCTAGCCCGTAGGTTTCTATTGTTGAACTTTTGTCCACTTGCCCACTGCGGCAGCGGATCGCAATAATCAACTCCGTCGACTTAAGACTTAGACTAGGCCTAACCCAGAGCTGTCCACCGCCACGTTTTCAGTTCTCGTCTACTCCGACCGCCTTGGATAGACACTTCTAAAGCCCTCCGCTCTTTCGGACCTTGTCCTCTTCTTCCCTCATTATCCTCATTGTCCCCTCACGTTCTGCACAATTTGTTGTCGGGCGTCTACGCACATCGCAGCGCCACCGACGTAGGATCAGGGGCGTGCCGAGTACATTATTTTCGCAATTGGCATCATGATTGAAACCTTCTAGACCGGCGAAGAAACAATGGAGGGACTTTTCACTCTGCTCGCCCTGAGCATTGTGATGGCAATTACGTGAGGATCCATCGTTCAATGAAGGCATCGTCCACTGTCACAAACAACTCCCTCGCTAACCGCTTCTCTTCGACTCCGGCAGATCTTTTGTTGTGGGCTCATTACCACTTGCATTTACACTCTCCCCTTCCCAGCTGAGGCTAATATCCTCCATTGGTATGGGAGTATTGGTTGGAACATCCTTGATCGTCATTATCCCAGAAGGGGTGGAGACCCTGTATAGCGCGAGCTCGCCTGCCGTCCGCAATGGTATCAGCACCCGGTCGACATCGACAGCCGTCAATTGGCCAATCCATAAATTGCCGGCAGTCAAAATCTACGAGCCGAGAGATATTTTGAGTTTTGGAGATGCAGCGGAGGTGCCCCCGCCGGACTTTGACAGCGTGCCGACTACACCTACGCTACGTGTCACCCGCGATGAACAAAACCAGATACATGAACGGAAAGAAGAGACATCAGGCGACACCGAACACAAAACTCATGAGGAAGAGAGCTCGCCTCACGCATGGATTGGAATCGCGCTCATCAGTGGCTTCATACTGATGTACCTTATTGACAAGCTCCCTGTTTTAGCGTCGCCGAGCAAACAGGAGAGAACCCCCTACCACATATCACTGGACAACCTGGGATCGGGGTTGCGACGGAATTCATCCCCGTCGCGGGAAGGAGGTCTCCTGGATGCTGGAAATGTCCCCAAAAGTAGTCACAGCTTCGCCACGACTACCGGACTCGTCATCCATGCTGCCGCTGATGGAATCGCCCTGGGTGCCTCTAGTTCCGACTCCGGACTCAGCTTCATCATATTCCTTGCGATCATGGTACATAAGGCCCCGGCTTCCTTCGGTCTCACTTCTGTGCTGCTCAAGCAGGGGCTCTCTAGTCGCACCGCCAGAGCTCATTTGTTGGTTTTTAGTTTGGCAGCCCCCTTGGGAGCTTTGATGACTTTCTTATTTGTGCAAGTCATGGGTTCGGGCTCTAGCGGCGACGAAATGAGTACGCGTTGGAGGACAGGTGTACTGCTGCTGTTCTCTGCCGGTACCTTCTTGTGAGCTCTCCCTTAGACGCGCCCCGCTCAAGATCAAAAATTTAACTGTTCTGCAGATATGTCGCCATGCATACGATGCAAGAAAATAGTCCCAACACCTCCCGTGAATCTCCCGCAAATGGGTATGGTGATCCTCGGGATCTCCCAGCGAAGCACGATAAGTCTATGAGAGATCTTATTGCTTCTGTCGTTGGCATGATCTTGCCATTATTCCTGCAATTAGGCCATGCTCACTAGTCTCAAAGGTCGTTACGAGGCGGTTCATTCTGCGCCTTGTTGACTAATCTTATTTTGGATTCTACCCTTGTTCGACTTTATCGATCCACGAGTGCATAATCATCAAAGGACGTCGCTGCGGAAACAACACTTCCCCTCCCGTTGCTCTCAGGGGGACTGTCTTGTATTATAGACCACATCGTGACTAGGATTAATACGCTTGTTTGACGCTATAATCTGCTTGTGATATAAATCTTGGGATAGAAACGGTGCTGCGATTTTCTGCTTCCTATTTTTACCATGCATTGGGGAGACTTCACTTTGTATACATTTTTTTGTGACAAGTTCAAGTTATTAATCCTGCATATGTATGAGCTGGTAGTACCAGTCATGATTACGTATACAGATTGACCCAGGAACTATGGAGGGGAAAAGGAGGGGGTCCCCGGAAAACGGGAACCACGATCACTCCTTTCCCCGCATAACGACGGCAAGCTTGAAATCGTCTTGGATTTGCCCCGATTCCACGGTTGTCGGACAGATCCTGCCGACTCCCATCCAGGGACTCGGAAGAACCATATCTCTGGTCAGGCGCCCTTTATTCCGACAACTAGCGCTCCTAGGTCGCATTCTCTGCGCGCGGGGGGGGAGGGGACGTGAGGAGGGCAGATTTGTAATCGGACAGGGGTAAGCTTAGTTATCTCTCCGCGTTGACTCTGGAAGGAGTTGGCCTTGTTTCGGAGATTGTAGGACTTATGTGCAGTACCTGGAGAAGCTTCTTCATCTTGTTCTCATTTGCCTCTGACGACAGATGGTGCATAGGGCACGCACGACCTCAGAGGCCATCGGAGGTCGTCTCTCATTGGTGGCGGGGTTTTATTTATGTTTTATTTATTTGTCTATTTATTTTCCTTTGAAAATTGCCAGTGTGGGAGCTTGTGATCGCATAACTAATCTTCTGGTCGCTGATGTGTCGCATGCATGGAAGGAGGGTGGAGAAAAGCAGGGGTCCACATCCTACAGGTCAGGCGCATGTAGGAGCGACGAGTGGAAAGGAGGAGTAGAAGATTTTGAACAAGCAGGGGGATACGAGAGGAGGGTAGAGAAGAGGAGAAGAAGGCAGGGAGCGGGATTCCGAGTACTGTTCAAGGAAGAAGGGAGGAGGAGCCTGGAGGAGAGGGATGAAGAGAGGGATAGAGAGTGGGAGGGAGGGAGGAGGGAAAACAGTTATGTGCATGCATGTAGGTACAGCACTGCAGTATCTTACCGGTACTTGTCTCATGGATTGTATGTCGAATTCAATGAGTTCAATGAGTGGCTTGGCGGCTTCGGGCCCTCCCTGAACCACACTAAACCTTTCAGGGACTGCACCTGACCCTCTTTCGAAGTCTCTCTTACCGTCTTACGACATCGCATGATTCCAGCCAGCCCCAGCCCCAGTCCTGCCAGCCCGTAAGTTAGTGCTTAGTGCCTACAGTAGACTGACTCTGCTTTTAGCGTTGCTGCTCCTGTAGGTCCTGTAGGTCCGCTCCTGTTTTGTCTGTCCTGTCCTGCTTCATTCCATCTTCCTCCTCCTCCGCTAGACTACCTACGTACTGTACAGTGCTACAGTCTTTCATCCACTGAACCCTCACCCCCACCCCCCGCTCCCTCTTCCTCCCCCCTCTCTTTCCTATCGTCTTCTCTTGTCTCTTGTCTTGTCTTGACTTGTCTCCCAGCCTGGGACTCTCTATCTCTCTGTCGAGTCTATCGGTCTCTGTCTGTGTCTAGTCTGGTCTAGTCTCGTCCACACGTCCCCACCACCCCCGTTTCTGACTTGCAGACCCAGTTTCTTTCTGGATGGCGTCGTCGGCGGGAAAAGGTCAAGCGTAATAATCTTGTCTCTCTCTCTCTCTCTGTCTTTCTCCCCCTCTCCAGTCTCCAAGCTCTCTCTGTTCCACTTTCCATTCAACGTTCGCCTGCGACTGTTGCCGCTGTCTCTGCGCGGGATATCGGATCTCCAGTCTTCATTTTAAACTTTTTCTTTTCTGGTTCTATTTTCTTTCGGTTATTTTTATCCATCCCATTGCCCTGCCATTCTCTATCATATAAAACATTCTCGCCCGTCACTACTTTGATATCTGCTGGTCCTGCCACCCCCCCTATTCCCCGTTGACTCCGTATCGTCAGCCCTCCCTCCTCTCCTCACAATCACTACCGCCGGAGAGCACCCACCTCCCCCGTCTTATCTTTCTCTCTTTTGCCCTTTACGCTCGCTCCCTCCTTCGCTCCTCCCTCGCTCCTCCCTCCCACCCCGTCTCCTTATACACTCATCTCCATCTCCCAACTCTCCAACATTGTCTCTCGTTCTTCTCACTCGACACCAATCAACGCTATCTTACCGCGAATGTGTTGAAGTCTCAGGAGGTTAGTCTGGGCTTGTTACAATCGACGTGCGACAATCAAGCTTGGTGGCCCGCGCAAATCACTTGATGATATAGCCGCTATCGAGCGCGGCACGCCATGAGCACTCAAGATTTAGCAGATGACGGAATCATAAGTCCGCACAGTGTTTCTGACGAGATGGCAACGGCGCATAATCGGTCTTGCATAGCCAAGAATGCAGTTCCTTCCATCTCTAGTACACATTCGAGATCGCTTTCCTCAACCAAGCCTGGCCCTCCGATCCCAGCAAACCTTCTACCTGCGGCGCCTGAATCCCCCCCTACTCCAGCTCCGAGTCCGACCCCTCACCAAAGATCACCGACTTGGCCGACGACCGTAGAAGAGGATGAAGATGTTTTGTTGAATACTCAGATGCACTTCGCCTCTTTAACCAACGCCAAGAAGCAAAAATTCCTCGAAGGACTTCTCGGTCTATGTGATCCTCAGCAGCTCAGCTTTGTCTGGAGTTTCGTTGTTCCCCGATTAAGGAAAGACCCCTTCCAGGTTTTCCCGAACGAACTATGTTTGCGGGTATGTGGCCATCTTCCCGAGCTCTTGTTTAGCCGCTGTGACCCTGCTGACCCGTGTAACTCAATTTCATTAGGTTCTCTCGTTTATCGATGATCCGAAGACGCTAGCAAGAGCATCACAAGTTTCGAAAAGATGGCGCGAACTATTAAACGATGACATCACCTGGATGAACCTGTGCGAGAAGCATTCATATGCCTACCAACGACCTTCAGATGACGATCGAGACATTGTGGACCCTGCTGACGGCCAGCCTCTCCATGCTGTATCTCCCACTCATTCGCTGAGCGCGTTGCAGAGCACGTCCACGGTGTCCAGCCTCCATTCTCGGGACGGCTTTCCGGGACTCCCACGTTCCTTATCTGGAGACTGGCTCTCCTCATCGAGCTACTCGTCCCGGAGACGGCGGGTCCGACCCGTATCATACAGATCGCATTTCAAACAGAGATACATGGTTGAATCGGCTTGGAATAAAGGCGGGCGCTGCACGCAAAGACATATGAGCCCTGATCAGGGAGTGGTTACGAGCCTCCACTTGACTTCGAAATATATCGTGGTTGCGCTCGACAATGCCAAGATTCATGTGTATGATACCAATGGAGACAACCAGAAAACCCTTCAAGGCCATGTAATGGGCGTCTGGGCTATGGTCCCATGGGATGATATTCTTGTAAGTGGTGGGTGCGATCGAGAAGTCCGGGTGTGGAACATGGCCACAGGGTAAGCCGACCACAAAGCAATTTCCGAGCAGATCATGGATTATTTCAATACTAATGGTTTGTCTGCGTTAGGGCTGCAATATACCTATTGCGTGGCCACACGTCCACAGTGCGCTGTTTGAAAATGTCTGACAAGAACACGGCTATTTCCGGCTCACGAGACACGACCCTGCGGATCTGGGATCTCTCCACAGGCACTTGCAAGAACGTTTTGGTCGGACACCAGGCAAGTGTTCGTTGCCTAGCCATACATGGCGATCTTGTCGTTTCCGGCAGCTACGATACCACGGCACGAATCTGGAGCATATCTGAGGGACGGTGCCTGAGGACTTTGTCAGGTCATTTTAGCCAGATATATGCGGTCGCCTTTGATGGCAAGCGCATCGCAACAGGTAGTCTGGATACTACCGTACGCATGTGGGACCCCGAAACCGGACAATGTAATGGCATCTTGCAGGGCCACACGTCTCTGGTTGGACAATTACAGATGCGTGGCGATACGCTGGTTACTGGAGGCTCCGACGGCGCAATCCGGATATGGTCGCTGGTTACGAATACACCCATTCATCGGCTGGCAGCGCATGACAACAGTGTGACAAGCCTGCAGTTTGACAGCTCTCGTATCGTTAGCGGTGGCAGTGACGGACGTGTCAAGATCTGGAGCTTGGAGACTGGTCAACTACTGCGGGAACTATCTACCCCGGCCGAGGCTGTCTGGAGAGTAGCATTTGAGGCGGAGAAAGCAGTCATAATGGCGAATAGGTCAGGGCGGACGGTCATGGAGGTAAGCGCCCCTTTTGTTACTCCGAACTGGTAAGAACAGAATCTAATGGCATTCCTAGGTATGGAATTTCTCGGCGCCGCCCGAAGATAGCGGGGACGAAGCCGCAATCGAAAGCACTGCCAGCACGCCAGGGCCTTTCATGAGCCCAGTTGAAAATCGACACCGAGAACGCTTTTCTGACCCCCATCCCACGCTGCCCATAAGCAGTGATAACGATCATTCAATGGTGGATGCTCCCTTGTCTTGATGGCAAGATGAGCCGTACAATCGATATTATGAGGACGCCTTATTCTCCAACTTTCAATGATCTCAAGCGCCGTCACCTCTGTCCCTTGATTGGCTCCAGTGGAATGTAGGCAACATGACTGGTTTCGGAACAGGGCCGATTGTGCCTGGTTCTTCTTCCATATATGCATTTTGGGTGTTGGGTAGGACATTTTGTTTGAATTGTGACTTTTCTCTTCTTCAAGCCCGCTGGAAACGTGGTGTGGAGTTAAATAAGTGGCAGTTGGGGTTTTTCTTGTGCTGCTGGAGTATCAGAGAGGAATAACCCCAGGGGTGTCCCATGCTTTCTATATGTGCTTTGTGTGTTAGTATCATACGAGGGTTAGACGATACCTCTCTTGGGAAGATGTATTCAGATCTACAGAAGATTTAATCCTATGTGCCAGTGTTGTGGATCCATCCTAAGTGTAATGTCTTGGTCTTGTCTCAGTTGAGAGAGTACAGTACGGAGTACTTGATCCATTTGTCAAAGTTGATGTGGTCACCTGACTCACTCTACTAGTTAGAGGCAGGGATCCTTTGAGCAGAAGGCTGCGGCCCTTCCACAACATCTTCATCATTGGCGCTAGTCACACCTCTTTTGTCTGCGCAACAAGTATAGGCTCTGAATCTGGCCGAAACTGCGGGCTGCATGGCTGGACGATCCTCAATCCTTCCACTTCCATGCACCATCGACGTATGAAGCCTGCCAGTTGTACCCTGCTTTTCACATGGGCCCGGCCCCTCAAAACTAGTCGATTATGGTATACGGGGGCAAACCTAGTACAGGTTGCTACCTGTGTCGCAAACGGAAGATAAAGGTAGGACGACAGCCAGCAAATCCACCCGATGTCCACTCGTATTGGTGGTATAAGCTATCTGGTGGCTAGTCTTAATCATTACCTGGTTGGATGCGATTGTAGCTAAGCAGCTCCTAGTGTGACGAGGCGCATCCTGGATGCCGCAACTGCGCTGTCTACGGAGAATCATGCCCGGGGTACCGACCAGACACGATCTTCAAGATCGAGACGGGCCAGGTCAAAGGAAGTAGGAAGGGCAACAAGCCTTGTCCCGCCCATGGCGTTCGAGAGAGAGTTCCCGATGGTACCCAACGCATGTCTTCTCTGTCCATATATCAGAACCCTGAGTCGCCATGGAAGGAACGGGCAGTATGCTTGTTCTTTGACCAATATACTGCTTGTGACAAGCCTGAAGGTGGCAGTCACCTGGGATTTATCCCGAGGTTGTATGCGGGCTGTCATCGAGGGCTAGGCGCCGTGGAGCCAGCGTCTTCGTGTCTGCGTCTCGCGGTTGACGCTGCAGCCTTGCTCACCTTGGGTAATCAGGTCAAGGCGCCCTCGCTGGTCACACAAGCGAGACACCGGGTTGCTCTGGCGGCGCAAAGACTGCGTCAGGCGTTGGACTCGCCGATCGAACGGGTCAAGGACGATACCTTTGCAGCCGTGGTCATTCTCGCACTCTTTGAAGATATCTCAGGCGAGCGGAATGGGCTTGCGAGCTCCCACACTGTGGGCTTTGAAGCCCTTATGAAGCTGAGGGGCGAGAGTCTACTCAACGAGCAGGGGCTAGATATGTTTAAGTTTGCATATGTTCACACGGTAGGCTTACATACACCCCGTGCATCTACCCTTCCAATCAGTGGTTTTCAGCCTCCAGGGGCCATGCTGACCACTGTACGATTTGCAGCGCATTGAAGCTTTACTTTTGCGGCAGAAGCCACGCTTCAGTACTCATGATCTCGTCATGCGTCTTGATCCTGCCGATCCTTTACAACGGCTGATAATGGTGGTGAACGAGCTTGATCCAATGTCCCTCGAGAATCCCTTGACTTCAGACACCACCGATCCTGGAGTCATCACCACTCTTGCCTCCAGGATACAGATTTATAGGGCCCTGGACTCCGAATTAGCAGAGTGGAGTCGAAGCCTGCCGACCAGCTGGCTCCCTCACGCTTGCCGGTCGCATACCGGCGAGGATGTCTTGACCTACCAAGGGCAATTCTCGGCGTCGATCTGGTCCTACTATCATGCCCTTCGCATATTGCTACAGGTAACGATCCTCGAATTCGTCCAGACGTTGACCTCGCTTGTGCCTTCGAGCGGCATCCAGCGAGAAGCCGTCCGACAGGAAGCCGAGGGATCACGGTTGATCCGAAGCTTAATTGGCGATACGTGCCGTGCGATCCCGTTCTCGTTCGGGGCGATCGATCAGCTGGGCAACCCATTGGCTTCGCAGGGGGCATCGCAGATTCGGGCCTTCAATGTCTACCATATGATGTGGCCTCTGTGGTATATCTTGACGTGCGGACATGCGACGCCAGCCCAGGCCCAGCAGATCCGGCGGGCGCTGGCGGAAAAGGGTTCCGAGGTCGGGATCAAGTTGGCCCTTGTACTTGCTGGTGAGGGGGTTCAAGGCATGATGCCTTTGATGTTTGGATCTTTTGCGCCGAGTAGTGGGCCGCGTCTTGCTCTGGAGTATTTGTGAAGGACTGATGGTCAATCCTTCCAATTGGATTTACTAGAGTTTTAGGGATGAAATTTTGTATACTTCTTCTGCCAGAGTGGCTGCTGGATGTACAAATAGCTTGTGATGTATTAACTCTCCTCTCAGATCAAGGTGTATCAATGATTACATCAAATTATATCTTGAGCATACAACTTCTCAGACCCTGAGTGGATAGATACTGTATGTACGTAGTAGACGAGGGGAATGTTCCCCTTCCGGCAAGCCACGGATAACTCTGTTATCTCAACTGTAGCGACTGACGTCATGACCATAGATCCCGCAACCACGCAGACATTGGGTGAACAACCAACGAAGAGCCGAAGAAGAATGGGCTATGAAAATCTGGCAAGTCAATTCGATGCCAATTCAGGGACTAACAACTAAACTATCACTCGGCTGCTCGGATGGTTCCAGCGCACAGGATAAGCCGTCGCCATGCCGGTTTAGCCGATTTGGTTACAGCAGTCAGTCAATGCAGTCAGTGCCTGATTCGACTGACTTCACTGCTGGCTGCACTGACGACATGTTACCCTCCACAGTCCAGGTATCTATCTTTAGGAGCCGGTTCTGGCCTGCATGAGCTTATAAGTCAGCTAGTCCTCCTTTCAATGAGAAAATCGTTCTCCAGACTTGATACCCTGTCTCGATTGCTGCTTGTTTCTCTTTCCCCTCCCCCTCTCTGGAGTTGGTTTGGTGCTTTTGTAGATAAAACGAACGTTTATCACTCACTCACGTTGCTCACCTCGATCACTCACTCACCTACCTTCCTCATAAACCGCATACAATCATGTCAATGGCTACGCAAGACCGCAAACTTCCCTTTGGGAAGATTGAGCCCAATTCGGCCAAGTATTTCGCTAGCTGTACGCTGGGTGGCATTATCGGTAGGTTTCCCCCATCCTCGGCTTGATCCTCGCAAGGAAGCTAACTTGTTCGTCTGCTCTGTAGCTTGTGGTGAGTAAACCGTATCCGAGTCGCCTCTCCAAGGGCATTCTTGAGAACACATCTTGACACAATTACTACTACAGGCCCAACCCACACCGCCGTGACTCCGCTCGACCTGGTCAAATGTCGCCGCCAGGTCGACCCGAAGATCTACACCTCCAACCTCTCGGCATGGCGCTCGATCATGGCCAAGGAAGGCGTGCGCGGGGTCTTCTTCGGCTGGACGCCGACCTTCCTGGGCTACTCGCTGCAGGGTGCCGGCAAGTACGGCTTCTACGAGTACTTCAAGTACCTGTACGGCGACCGGCTCTTCCCCAACACCAACCGCACCGTCGTCTACCTGGGCGCCAGCGCCTCGGCCGAGTTCTTCGCGGACATGATGCTGTGCCCGATGGAGGCGATCAAGGTGCGCATGCAGACCACCCTGCCGCCGTTCGCGCACAGCCTGCGCGAGGGCTGGGGCAAAATCACCGCCCAGGAGGGCATGGCTGGCCTGTACAAGGGCCTGTATCCGCTGTGGGCGCGACAGATCCCCTACACGATGACCAAGTTCGCCACCTTCGAGGAGACCGTCAGTATGCTCTACAAGACGATCGGCAAGCCCAAGGAGCAGTGCTCCGGGCTGCAGCAGACCGGGGTCAGTTTCCTGGGCGGGTACATCGCGGGCATCTTCTGCGCGATCGTCAGTCATCCCGCGGATGTGATGGTCAGTAAGCTAAATGCGGATCGGAAAGGTAAGCTCTTGTTTGCCCCATCTCTGAGATTATGGGCCTTTGCTGTGGGTCGTGAATACTCAGGGCTAACGTGGTATAACTCTGTAGCTGGTGAGGGCGCGATGACGGCCGTGTCGCGCATCTATAGCAACATCGGATTCTCCGGCTTGTGGAATGGCTTGCCGGTCAGAATTGTCATGCTCGGTACTTTGACTGGATTCCAGTGGTTGATGTGAGTATCCTCCTTTGTTGGTCTCGGAGCTCAAGGGCTGACGCTGGATGCAGTTATGATTCATTCAAGGTGTTCTGTGGATTGCCGACGACTGGTGGACATTGATGGTGTTGGTCGTAATGTATTCTGATGAATAGAGTGGATTTGTTTGTATGTAATTTCATCATAGTTAGGAGTTCGGTGGATAATGGAATCTCGTTTGACAAAGGAGTGGTCCTGCGATAGGAATGAATGTACAGGTGAAATAGTAGTCCGTAGATAGTCAACGCTGACCGCTTTGGACTGTCGGCCGGCAGAATTACCGCGGCGATCTCAACTTCCTCTTCCTTTCGCTTCGTCCTCAGCTCTCGACCTCGTCCATTGCCAGCTCTATTCCATCTTCTTTTCCGTGGAATCTCTCGCTCGGATCGGCTTTGTGTGGTACTGCAAAAATCAGCACTTCTCACTTCATTGGCCCACCATCCTCAGCAACACACGTTAATTGTTTCGCGCCATCAGGGCAGAGAGATCGAAGCCATCGGATTCGCATTGCCAGGAACACATTCAGCGGCTTCCGGAGCCCCTTGACCAGACTTTGTCAATCTTCTTGACTATTACCTCCGACTAAAGCGACACCGCCTCCAGCAACTTTATTATCCAATTCCACTATCACCGAAATTTCTCAGCGATCCAGTCTCCGACATCCACTGTCCCGTACAGCCTACAGAAGCATCTCCGTCCCGACAACCACCCGCAATCAACCTCTCTCGTCATCACCTCCCAAATCACCTCCCAGCCGCTTATTTCAGTCACTTCACCATGGAAGACACGACATCCACCACAATCCGGCCCTCAGCGGCCACCACCAACCCCCCCAGCGTCGAGAACGCCTACAAGCGCAAATGCCTTGCCCTGAAGAAGCGCCTCAACGAGATCGAGGAAGAGAACGAACAGATGCGCGTCCGCAACCGGCGCGGCTGGCAGTACATCCAGAAGATGCGCCTGGAGTCGTGCATCTTGCTCGAGCGCCTGGCCAAGGTCACCGGCATGACCGAGGAGGCGTCCTCGCAGGCAGGGGCCGCCGCCAACCCGGAACTCCGGGCCCGCGCCGTCGCGCTGATGAGCAACGCCTCGGCGTTGAATGGGCTGGCCGCATCGTCGGAGGGTAAGAATGGGGCCGCTGGCGGCGGTGGCGGCGCGTATCTGGATGATGAGACGGAGGGGAGTTCAGATGAGCAGCCTCCTACTGTGAGTTTTATCCTTCTTTCTTTTTCCTCTTTTGGGGCGGTGGCTTCACTTTGACGGGCTGCCGTGCAAAGAAGACTCGATGCTGGGTCAGTGTGTGCACCAACAAGACAATTGACTGAATCCGCTCTGTAATAGCCCCAAGAACGACCTCTCCGCGTCAAACGATCCCGAAAATCCAACCTCCCCGACGGCGTCGGCGCCGACGATGAAGGCAGCACCGCCGCCGCTGGAGCTGCCAGTAACAATGCTGCCGACAACGGCGACAACAACACCGATAACAACGGCACCCTGCCCCGGCTGGCCCCCGCCCCGTCCCAGGACGATCTGAGCTCCACGTTTCGGCTTGGGGCCGGCCAGCACCCAGAATCCGATGAGCGCGGCACGAGTCAGAATCCGGAATCCGGCTCGAGAACCCGTCGAGCCTCTAACGCTGCCGCCGCTGCCGCGGATAACGATGATGACGACGCCGCAGCTGAGGGAGAGGAGAATGAGAACGAGGCTGGTGACGCATCAGTGGAACCCTCCTCGACGCCGATGGATGTGGATGTCAAGGAACCGAAGGAGGAGAGCTAGGGACAAGCTATGCGACATCTTCTTCAACTCAAATTAATCTTCACAATTTCCTTATCTTTCTGGGTCTCGAGTATCTCCATCTCCCCACCTCCCCTTTTCTCTAATTGTATAAACAAGGGCTACGGAGCGGGAGACAAATCTCAAAACAAACTTCAAAAGACCATCATCCATGGCTTGCTATATCTTCTTCTCTTCTTGACTGACTGGTGACCTGAAAACTGTTTTTATTTGCTTTGTGAGTGTTAAACTTGCGCGAAACCAATAGGTTTTAGAATTGGGGAAACTGGAGCTTTTTTTTTTCGTGTTGGGTTGTTTTTACCTTCTGTGTCGGATGCTTAACCTCTTACCTATTTTGCCTATCCACCTACTTACCTTATCCGCTTCTTGCCTCGAGGCAATCCTCTTTCTTCCTTTGTGGGGGGGTGCATACTTCTCTTGTCTCACCGTTTGCTGGATGTGTGCCATAATTTCTAGAGACCGGGTGGATTAATCCACCACAAGCGCATGAAGTAACCATCTTGTCTCGGATTGGATTCGAGTGTAAATTGACAACGGTCATGTGATTACTTTGTTTTACAAATATAAGGTTGACAGAGGAGTACGTATGGGCTCGGGCAGCTGGCGGACTTTGACTCCGCTGGAAGTAGGTCCAGGTGCCCTGAATAGCCATGCCCACGGGCGAGAGGCTTCCACCCTCCAGCAGGCTAGCTACTACACCTACCAAACTTGGAAGGCACTCAATACTCCCGAGTCAGTGAGGTGCAGTGAGCTGAGCACAACATCAACTCCAACAGTGAGCCCATCCCATCCCCACAAGAACAACATCACACAGTACAGCGTACAGTCACCATTCCGACTCACCAACAATCTACTAGACAACAAGGGTCAATCAATTCACTTTGATTGTCGCAAACAATAGACACAACACACAAAACACAACTAAAGCAAGGAACGCTGGTTAAAGGCCCCGGGCTATGCATAGAAAACATAATTTCCGATATGATGCAAGAACTTTGACTGACTCCCCTCCCTGTAGTAAGGAAGAACAAGCTCAAAGAAATCAGGATTACAACACATGTCCCCAATCGTATCCCCCCTCTTCGCGAAACCCCTGTAGCGCCTAAAGCAAGACACACCAACAAAGAAAAAGTCCGCCTGGAACGGTAGAAAAAATGCCGGTCATGAAGTCCCTTGGGATTCCAATGAGATGAGAGCGAAGCAATAAGCAATCAGGAAAATCTTGGTTATCGAAACAATGAAGATCGCCCAGAAGAAAAGGGAAGCCGTGTTCCTGACGCCGGAGGAAGATTAAGAAAACAGAAAACACGCTTTATTCCACGCCGGCGTAGAGGTCGACTAGAATATTAATGGCCGCGACGAGGATTTCGGCGGCGATCAGAACGATAACTGGAAAAAAGGAATTGAATTAGAGAGGTATACAACCGCAGAACCAAGAGAGGGAGACGTACCGATCCATTCGAGATACTCACCATGGCGGTGAGTTAATTGATCCTTCAGAACGGCAAGCAGATCCGCAATGACGTCTAACCGCTCCGTCAAGAGACTCACTCGCTGGTCCATCTCAAGGTAACTCCGCACGGCCTGGTACACAGGCTCCAGTTGGGGCTCTGCCCACATCAGTTCCGGACTGTCGAGGACGGAGCCTTGAAGGTGGATGTTGATTCGCAGGATGAAGAGCTCTCCGACCTGCATGTTGATCTGGCGCCGAGTGAGATTTACGCTGCCGGTCTGGGCGATCTGGGCCGGGAGTGGTGCGGTGTTGGAGATCGTCTCGGAGACGAGATCTTCGAACAGGGATGTCTTGACGGACTGGGCGAGAGCATGGGAGATGGCGAGCTTGATCATGTAATTCCGCGGGTCACGGAGGGAGATGAAATCGTTGTAGATCCGGGCTTGGTATTCGCGCGCATAATAGAAGTTGAAGTTCTCGACCTGCGTGTCTTCGGGACTCAGAATGGAGGTTGCAAATTTGGAGATATCGGATAAAAATCGTGACTCGTGCGCGGGCGACATGCCCCAAATAACCACGGTGCCGTAGTCGAAGAGGAACACCTCCGGGGTGTGGACTTTGGTGTCGAAGTCAGGGGCAGCTTCTATTTGGGATGCCGATGCGGTGGAATCGACCACGGCGCTCTCATGGTCATCTTGTGGATGGTGCGATTCCGAATCTCTCAGGTCGATAAGATCTTCCCGTCGGGTATTGATGTTGTCTTGCACTTCCACTACACTATCCGAGTACCGGCGTTCTCCAGTAGGACGTATCGGGGTTTGGGATTGCGGCGAATGCAACCCGTTGCTAGGAAGATTCCATGTGCCTCGCTGCTTTGCTTCATAGTCGTAGTCATATGGCGAGTATACGCACTCATCGTAGAGCTTCGGGTTGGCTCCGCGGGTCTTTGCGCGGGACTTGAGAAACCGCACCACCCCCTCCAGACGATACGAATTGGCCGTGCAGTAGGCTGTGACGCGGGGCAGTCGCTCTCGATCCGCCTTTCCCAGACTTGCAGCGTGACTGCGGGCGGTCGGTTCTTTGATGCGGGCGATCTGCGAGTAGACATCGGATGGAAAGTCGCCGTCGGCGAGTTCTTCTTCGGTCACGGGATCGGGCAGTAATTTAAGCTTCTGTGCGTTCTTTGTCGTTCGCTGCGGTCCGACCTTGGGGGCTGTCGCGAACGGGGCACCGGCGGTGCTGTAAGGTGCTCCATGGCTATTGCGGCGGCGGAGCTTGCTATTTAAGGCGGACAAGCCGGTCGGTCGGGGTGGGCCAGCGCTCTGAGAATTGGATGCAGGGTAAGAACCAGAATGAAGCGGTCTGAAGGTCGGGTCTGCGGCGGTAGTATCGTGATATGTGCTGACAGTGGCCAATGGGTTGAATGTCACCGTTCGAGGAGCTCGGTTTCCTCGCGGTGACGTATTGGTGGAGGAAGGCGGCTGATGTTGGGGGAGGAGGGGGGAAGACTCTGTGATGGAAACCATGGTGGGTAATTGAGGAGGAAATTCAGAATGCTGCACAGAGCAGATTCTGTTGAATTGAGCAACAATCGGGAGGCAGGCACGTCACCGAGGATGGTGGGGAGGCCGTTGTGAAGGGAGAGAAAAGAGAAAATGAAGTCTGAGGACGGGATGGGATGGCAGTAACTTAGCTCCAACTGGAAGTCCACCGGGCAAGCTTCCTCCTTTCCTTTCTTTGCCTTTCCTTCCTCCTGCTCCGCACGTGCGCCCGCCCAGCACTGCCATTTCTTCCCCTCAGCTTCGACACCTCGCTTCGCCAACGCAGTCCTGCCGATTCTTGAGTAAGAAGACTAGTAACTGGAGGTCTGCAGTCAACGGTCATATGTTCGCGTCTTGTCAAAAGCAATTATACCCTGCAATGAAGCGAAAAAGAAAAAGAAAAGAAAAGAAAAGAAAAAGAAAGCATACATTACGAGGTGGGGTTCGGGCAGCTTCGTCGAGCTTGACCTGCAGATCGGGACTGCGCATATCGTGGATGATGGAGCATTTCTTATGTGGCATCATTCCGAGTTAAGAGCTAGAAACCCTTCGTAGACTCTGTCTTGCATGAAGATCCGAGAGCCTCGACTCAATATGGACTATGCGAAGAAATATAAAGCGCCCGGAAGTCATCGCTGGAGACCCGAGCTCAAGCCAACATGTAGACAGGAAATAGATACAGGATATACTTTTGATTTCATTAAAAAAATTCCCTAAAACGAGACGGAGTTACGTGCGCCAAAGACCTGCTATTTGCGCACAAACCCCGAGGAACCGCCAGCCGTTCTTCTCATCCCGTTGACTTTGGCCGTACTGCGAGCGGCACTCAACCAGGCTTGTCTCGCGTTCTGGCTGCTCTTCGAGGACTTGGGTGGAAGTGCAGTCTTCGACTTCTTCCGTGATACATCTCCATCCAGCACACGGATCGTGACGTCGCCCATCTGCAAATCCTTCGGGGCCTTCTCCTTCTTGTCCAGGAACCTCAGTTTGGTGGGCTTGGGTCGCACAATCTCCATCTCTTCGGCGGGAGGGGTCGGGGGGCGAACGTCGGGGGCGGCATTCAGGATATCGTCCGGGAGGAGAGCGGGGAGCGCAGACCTCCGGGCACTTTCTGTCGTGGTACCCTGAAGGGTCTCGGTGCTTTCTGATAGCTGATCCTCGGCCTCTCGTTTCTTGTTGGCCGACTTCGCCTGGAGCTTGCGCAGATCGTCGAGTTGTTTTCTCTTGTCTCGTTTCAATTGCTCCTCTCTGTGCCATAGTCAGTGATGAGTTTCAAGTGCCATGGAGATTACATGAAAGAAGATACGAACATTTGTTTAGCCCTCTCCTGTCTCTTCGCCTCCATCCGAATCTTGGACAGTTGCGCGGAGTTATCAACAGCCTCGGGAGCCTCGTCATCACTGCTATCCTCCTCCTCCTCCTCATCCGCATCCATGCCCTGTGGCGTCTCCGCAACTTCCTCCTCCATCTCAGGCACTTCCGGCTCTTCGCTATCGAATCGGAAATGCTTCTTTTTGGCGGCCGGGGGAGCAGCAACAGCAAGTGGCGTCTCCTCCTGAACCTCACTATCACTATCCTCCACCATCTTCGCCTTCTTATTGCTAGTAGTCGTCGTCGCTGTCGTCGTCGTAGCCATCTCGTCGTCCTCCGATTCCTGCACGTCCTCTAGACTGCTGCTGCCCCGCTTTCGCCGTTTGCTGTTGTCCTGCGTCTTGGAGGAGGAGGTGGTGTTTGGCTCGGATTTGCGCTTTCCGTTGATCGTCCTTTTGTCAATCGAGCTTGTCCCAACTTCAGGCTCCGCGGACTGCTCGGCGGTCAATTTCCGCCGTCTAGTGGCTGTGACCATCTTCTTCGGCGTAATAACGGCGGCGCTAGTAACGCTGTCCGAGGCGAAATTTTTGGGAAGTGTGCTTTTTCCGTTGGAGTCCGTCGATCGATTGAATAGCCCCTTTGCTGCGGTCATAAACTGTGCAAACATTTAAAGGTTGAGATAAAGGAAAAAGAAAATTTCCCCGGACCTTCTCTCCCAGTTGTTTTGCATGGAGAAATGTTATTGCGCGTTGCGCAAACCCTCTTTTCCGGAGCGTAAAAAGAAGCATTCGAAAATTGTAGCGGCGACTGTGTTTATCCGGGGCGAAAGTGGATCGAGAAGTACTGTAAATGTGGGTCCCGCTTCTGGTGTACTGAACGAGTATAAGCAAGGATAATTACAACAGGAACTACACCTAGATCAAATAGTTTCCAGTTGTTTTCGATATGTCAAAATTCATTTGAAGCTGATATAATATTCACTTTTCGGGTATCCTGGACAACTGTAAACCTTGCAATGCATGAGCTGCGAAACTCGTGAGACAATTCCACAGAACATGCACACCATCGAGAACGCCAAACCATGCTGTGTATGTGTATAGTATCAGTAGCATGCATTAAAAACTCCCCCAAAACTCCTTCTTGACCATGAAAACCCAAGCAAACCACCCCCGCAACGAGAACCACAAGACAACGCAGCTAGGCAAATCTTTACCGAGCACCCACCATCTGCTTCCGCTCCAACAGCTCCTCCTTCGCAGCCAGAAAGTCATCCTCGCCGATATCACTCGCCTCATCCCAGAACCGGCCGTGCTCGTCGCCATCATCCCCGCTGACCGTCCACATACTCTCCCGCAGCCGCTTGTTGCGCTCGCGGTCCTCCTCAATGCGCTGCTCGATTTGCCGCTTGTCCACCCTGCCGCGCGAGCCCCGCGGCGTCGCACCCTTGGCCCGCGCCGCCCCTGCCGCCGTCGCCGCATCATCACCCTCCGCGCCTCCTTCCTCCTCCCCCTCCAGATCCAAATGGGCCGGGTGCGTCTCGCGCTCCTTCAGGAAGGCATCAATCTCCGCCACCGTCGCCGCGGAGAGGATCTCCTTGGTCTGCAGCCCGTTCAGGACGCGGCGGACGTGCTTGACGTTCGCGGCCCCGGAGCCGTCGGGCGGCGCGACGGCGTCGACAATGCGGATGATGTCGCGCTGGATCATGCGGACGTAGGGCGCATGGTCTTCCCGCGTGGCCATCTCGCAGAAATGCTCGACGAAGTACATGATGTTTGCTCGGTTGTTCATGTTGTTCTAGATGTTTGCGAAAAGAGTCAGATTTTGTGTGGCAGACAGAGCAGGCGAAAAGAGTGAGGCGCGGGGGCGCAAGGGCTGACCTACTCGCTCTAATTGTTCGAGAATGCACGAGTGAAGATCCTCATCCATGTCGCGGTACTTGAGCGCATAGTGCGCGGCTTTCTGGGAGGAGGTGACCGAGGCATTGAGGTGTTGCAGCTGCGCCGTGAAGCGCATCCGCACTTCGAAGGGATCGACCATCATGGTTGCGGATGGGTGGAGGCCCAGATACCTCTGGCCGGGGGTGGTGGTTGTGGGAGATTGAAGATGGAAGAAAGGGAGTTTGTTGCTCGGGCTGGCTCGTGTATGGAGCACGTAAATTCAAGCTTGGACGCCAGAGTCAATGAAACGCGCGTGGTGAGCGGGGACGATGTTCGGCATCTGCCGCTTGCCACCGCCCCGTCATTGCTGCCCTTTTTCACACCGCTTTTGGGTCCTACTGAACTATATATATCACCCGTTTCTGGAGTTCAACAGGTGGCTCATAAGTGACTGGAGGATTGATCTGACTGTGAAGATACAGGAATTTTGGAATAAACCAATTTCTTAGTAGTATTGGAAGATATAGTGCATCTGGGGTATAAAATCTTGAGCCTTAGAGGCAAAGCATGTTCACTAGAGTTAGTGAATGCCTCTAAGCCGCAGGCGAGGCAGAGGACCACACCAATCATGAAAAAGTCTAAGATTACAGCAACATGTGCAGAGAAGTATTCAAAAAATAGATAGATACTTAAGCCTGGCTCCGTCCATAAAGCGAAGTCACATATCATGTAAATCATTGCGCCCGGTGTTTTCCTGCGTCATTTTACAGAGATTGCCGCCGCTCAATGGAGCTGGCAAGACTTGTGCCGTCATCATCACCAAGTAAGCCAACTTCCTCCGCGGCACTTGGCTGAGTGAAAGTTCGCTCAAGTAGGGTTTCGTCCTTGTGGGAGCTTGACCCACTGACTATCGACCAAACATCCTTCTTGGTGAGCAGGCCCTGCAGGACACCCCTGTCGGCAAATAGAACGTACCGCAGACCGAGTCGTTGGAACATTCGTAGAACAATGAGAAAGGTGGTGTTGCTGTTGAGCGTGATCGGCGTTTGATCCATCCACGGCCTCAGATCCAGGGTCTCGCTTGGGTCTGCGAATGGTTGGTGCGTAAAGAACACCTGCGCCGTGTTTAATAATTCAGTATCGGAAGGTGACGCTGCGTACTTCAGCGCGTAGGAAAGCTCGTTGCGTGAGATGTAGCCCAGAAGAACGGGATTCGACATGTCTGTAACAACCGGATATCCACGGTAGGACGTGGTCAGGAGAAGATTGCGGAGGCTGTCGATCGTATGCCCAACGGCAGTGATGACTGTCAGGTCATCAATGGACGTCATTACTTTTTGAGCAGACACATCGGGTGGAGCGGTGTCATCGCGATGATCAAGGAACGGATATTCCTTGAGTTGAATCCAAGACTCGTAGATACCACGCTTCCCGAAGATATCACCACACCATTTGGACAGCATGACTGCAATCATGATGGGAATGACGTAGGTTAGAGCACCTGTGAGTTCGAACATGATGACCACAATCGACACGGTCATTCTGGTGGCGCCGCCGAGGGCTGAAGCTGCTCCAATGATAGCATATATCCCTGGAGTCACGCACTGTACATCCGGCTCGCAACTGCCAAACAGGAAGAATTTAGGGAAAGCTTGCTGCCACATCCGAAAGACGATGCCGAGAGCCCGGCCATAGAGAGCGCCAATGGCAATTGAGGGAAGGATTATGCCAGCAGGGATGTCCAACCCAAAGGTAATCGATGCGAGGAAAAAGCCAAGAATAGCAGCTCCCAGCAGAAGAGCAACCGTACTAGCCGATACCGCACCAACCTTACAGAAGCCGAACGGATCTTCAGTCCCGGTGCTACATTCCGCAAATAGAGAATGCACGAGCTCCGAGTTCTGAGCTTTCATGAAAAGATTTGGAAAGTTGATCAATGAACTCAGAAGAGCTACAGCGGATACCTCCAGAATCGGTCGGGGGACACGTAGGGAACGCCGCCAATTGGCTACCTTCATGTTCAGTCGGATGAAAAAGGCTCCATAAATTCCTCCGACGATACCAAGTATGACGAATGGGATAATTTCAAAGCGGTGCCACCCATGCGTGTACTTGACTTGGTAGAGAACTATATTGCCGGTGCGGAATGGGTCGAGCGCATGCAAGGTCACAGAGGCAACCATGGCACATACGAAGCTCTGCCACATAGTCTTGTCGGGAAAGTAATAGCTTAGTTGCTATCCAGTCAAAGTTAGCCCGGCTTCTTACCAGAGAATTGTTAACCCACCTCCAAGCTAAATAGAACACCTCCGATGGGCGCTCCGAAGGCCACAGAAATCCCGGCAGCGGCGGCAGCGGAAAGGACCTCTCGTTTCCTCGCTACACGATTAGCATATATTGACTAATGGTCTCATGATGTAAATACCTTCGTTGTGATTGAGACTATGAAATGGCTTCATTATCAAACTCGCACAGCAACACGCGACATGGACAAGAGGTCCCTCTTTGCCAAGCCACATACCAGATGCGACAGCCAAGCACTGCTCTAAATCAGCAAGGGTTCTAGATTGTAGGTTCGATATATACCTACCAAGCCCAAAGATTTGATAGCGAGGGTCCAAGGCCCCATGAAGTGTCTAATGACAAAACCGCCAAGAACGGTCTTGATCTCGGGGATACCACTGTGCTTAGCATATATGGCGTATGTCCTGACTAGGACACATGCGCAGACGGCGAAGAACATCTGTGACTTGCGTTAGCATCTCACCGCAATGTCTAGCAACAAGGGTCAGTACAGAGTAGAGAATATAAAAAACATATTCAACGGCATAGCCGCCACCGCGTGAAGTGACTCCTAGGGCTTTTCTCCAAGGCGTCCAATCCAAACAATTATTAATGTCTGGCCAGCAAGCCACGTTAGTCTCATTGGTTTGAGCGTCTACCGAATAGAACCGACTCACCATCATGCCCCCAGCAGCAGAAGCTCCGATTCAGATAGAACCTACCTCCTCCTGCCCCGTTCCTACAATAGCCAGTTTTGAGATCGGCTAGCCAGTCACTTGAGACATCGATGCAGGCGGCGATGATGCCAACAAGAATTCCCGTCGCGATCAACACAATCCAAACATTGCTTGCATCCAGTATTTTGCGCGCATATCCAACAAGTCCCTGTCCATTTGCGTAGAGCAGTCGTTTTCTTTGTCGCTCTTTTGTGTATTCAAAAATCCAATCGATTGCCGTAAGGTCGTCATATCCTACCCGTCTACCTGGCCCCTCCACATACCAATCCAGAAAGCCCGAATCCTTGTGGTTCACATTTCCGTTGCTGTTCGAAACGTCGCGCGACGATAGTGAGTGGCCGTTCGGGGGCTGTCTGTCGCGATTCGGAGAGCCGAAGCCGGTGTCTCTTGTCGATTCACCAGGGAAAAGGCGCGAGAGGCTGAACCTGGATCGCTGCTTCTGTTTTCGTTTGAAGGATATTCTACATGGTCATGATATCAGCTCAAATCAGCGGAGCAGATAGTTTCTAGGACTTACGGTTCGCGTAAGCCTCCGCTTAAAGAAGCACGGGAGCTCTGTGGGTAGGTGTCGCTATTCGGCGGTTCGCTCTGAGGGCTTGGATCATCGCTATATGACTGCGAAGGAGATGCCTGAGCCTCTATAACTGACCCAGCATGTGGTAAAGACATTGCGATTCATAAAGTATAAAGTATTGTAGCTGCGATCTCAGTTCGTGTTGCAACGAGCCATGCTGTAAGGTTGGCGATTTCCCCTGCGATATCCGTGCTCCGATTAGTTCCCGATAAGTGTTTCTATTGTCGGACTTCTGATCTCACCTCCGTGGCTGGGGCGAGGGCGGTAAGAGCCGTCAGAGTGGGGCCAAGGCGGAAATCCCGCGGCAGAAAATGATCGCGAGAAAAAAAAAGTGCTGCAATCCGACGAAGTTTGTATCCTCCTCCTCTCTAATTGAATCCCATAACCAGAGTTCCTTTGGCGGTAGGGCTCAGCATGGACGCTAGACCTGCCTACGAGGGGACTCTTGATGAGTCCCGCCTATTTGCGAAGCTTCCGAATGAGATTGCGGAACTCATTCACACAGCTTCTGGGACCCAATACCTGAATGCGCTTGCGGTTGGCGCATTGAGGCCCGGATGTACAGAAGGCTTCTTTTGCCTGTACGAACCGATCTTTGTGGATTTGGCAGCACGGTGGCTCTTATCCGACTCTCAGCTAGATCAAATCGATATCCTTTCCGCATTCTCTCGAGTACTACCGTTTGCGCCAAACCTCCGACCTTTTGCAAGCCAATATGCCATTGCTCGGGCTGGACCTCTATCGGCTTTGGCTGCGTGTGATGAGCAAACCCTTTCACAAATAAACGATGCCACCATCCGGAGCCTCTTGTTAGCGATCTTTAGGCTTCTTTCCTACGACCCAGAAGTCTTCTCAAAGGCTGTATCGCCCTCTCAGCTTCAATCGCTATTCCAACACCGCGACCGATCCGTTAGATACCTCTCCATACGATGCTTCGCCCTATACATGCGAGCAGCGGATGCTGCTCTGGAGGAATTAATCAAAACTAATTTTGCAGACGATATCGTCGAGGGCGAATGGGAGGGGACCACAATCGACTACCGGTGTCTTGGCTTGTGGGAAGAACGTCGGTGGAACACATTGGAGAAGCAGGTTCAGCTCGCCAGGTCGAACCGATCTACCCCCGATACTCTTTCGCAGATTGAGAAGCTTCGAGAATATTTCACTTCTAGAACCGCCGAAATCTGCGGAGTGTTGGTCCCACGACAAAGTAATACTCCTCAACCGTCCTCGATTGTGAAAACGCCGACCGCCGTTGGAAATTTGCGGAAAATCGCAACAGCACTAATATCCGCTAGGCCTATGTTGCTGGTTGGTTTACCGAACTCGGGGAAAACGACATTAATCAACGATGTCGCCGCAACCATGGGCCAGGCGGAGACGATGGTCACGCTACACTTGAATGAACAGACCGATGCAAAGAGTCTTCTGGGAATGTATTCGACCTCACCAGCTACAGGCTCTTTCGCCTGGCAACCCGGTGTTTTGACCAAGGCGGCAAGGGAAGGTCGTTGGATCCTGATCGAAGATTTAGATCGCGCGCCTTCCGAAGTTATTGGCCTTATTCTTCCTATCATCGAGCGGGGAGAGTTGACCATAGCTAGCAGGAAGGAAAGAATCAAATGCGCAGAAGGCTTCAAGATCATCGCAACCATGAAGTCTTCATACAACATTGCGGGTGAAGAAATTGCCCCGAGCACCAACATCCTAGGAAGCAGGTTGTGGCAGCGTGTGCAGATTGACTCTCTCGCGATCGACGAAATTCGAGAAGTCATCACGCAGAAATATTCTCTCCTAGAATCTCGGGTCGCCACTATCATGGACGTCTACCAGAGACTTTGTGCCTCTTTCCACGGAAGCCTGGCTATCAAGAGTTCTCAGGGACGAACTCCTGGTCTTCGTGATCTAATCAAGCTCTGTAGCCGAATGCACAGGCGGCTTCAGCGCTTGGGGGCGAAAACCGGCTACGAAGCGACGCCAGAGGGTGCTGAGGATGAAATATTCCTTGACGTCGTGGATGTGTTTTTGAAATATATCCCCGAAAAGACCCTGGCGGATTCCCTTTCCTTGGTTGTTGCTGAAGCCCTGCAAATTTCACCGCAGCGGGCACGCTTCTGTATGCACGAGAGAACGCCTACTTATTCTGACCAAGGCAATAGCCTCACGCTTGGAAGAGAAACATGTCGCAAGGTAAAAGTCCCGGCCGGATCTCTCTCGAAAGCTGCTACCTCCTCGTCTCGCTTTGCGTCAACGAGAGCTGCTTTGGGTTTGATGGAGCAAGTTGCTGCTTCTGTGCAAATGGCCGAGCCTGTCCTTCTCGTCGGAGAGACGGGTATTGGTAAAACCACTGTCATTCAACAGCTTGCTACGCTGATGCGACAGAAGCTCACAGTGGTCAACTTGTCCCAGCAGAGTGAAAGCACTGATTTGCTTGGTGGCTTCAAGCCAGTCAACATTCGCACAATGGCCGTACCGATGCATGATGAGTTTGTCTCTCTCTTTGAATTGACATTCTCGGCAAAGAAGAACCAAAAATTTCTCCATTCTGTCGCCAAGAGTGTCACTGCAGGGAACTGGGCTCGCCTAGTACACCTTTGGCATGAAGCAGTCCGATTGGCTGATGGAGTATTCAAGTCAGATCAGGGCTCTCAAGGTGCCGAGGAACAACCCGCGAAGAAGAGGAAGTTGGATTCACCTAAATACCAACTCTTGCGGCAGAGATGGGACAGATTCGCAGCGCAGCTCAATGATTTCGAGTCGCAGGTATCTCAAGGAGATGCAAAGTTTGCCTTTGCTTTCGTTCAAGGAAAGATTGTCCGAGCGCTGCGTAACGGGGAGTGGGTTCTTCTTGATGAGGTCAACCTTGCTTCACCAGATACTCTCGAGAACATCGCCAGTCTTCTCCACCATGGTAGCGAAGGTTCACCGTCCGTCTTGCTCTCCGAAGCAGGTGATGTGGAGCGCGTCTTTGGTCACCCTGATTTCCGTATCTTTGGAGCCATGAATCCCGCGACTGATGCAGGCAAAAAGGACCTACCCCCTGGTCTGCGATCAAGGTTCACGGAATTCTATGTGCAATCACCGGATAGCGACCTGGACGACCTGCTCTCTCTGATTCAGAAGTACCTTGGCGATTTGGCGTTGACTGATGCGAGGGCAGTCCCGGATCTTGGACAGCTCTACATGGAAGCTAAGAAGCTTAATACGGAGAACAAGCTCACTGATGGTGCTGGACAGCGTCCACACTTCAGCATCAGAACACTCGTCAGAGCGCTCGTCTACGTAGCCGATCATGCACATATCTACGGCTTGCGTCGAGCAATCTACGAGGGATTCTCTATGAGTTTCCTTACCGTTCTCAGTCAAGAGTCGGAGCGTTTGTTAGCACCTTTGCTCGAGAAGCACATCTTCAGCAACGTCAAGAATTCCAGAGCACTCCTGGGCCAGACACCCAAACCACCAAATGACGGAAATGACTACGTGCAATTCAAGCATTACTGGATGCGTCGGGGTCATCTGCAACCCGAAGAACAACCGCACTATATCATCACACCATTCATCGAGAAGAACCTGAAGAACTTGGTCCGAGCAAGCTCCACGCGCCGCTTTCCCGTTTTGCTGCAGGGTCCGACGTCTGCTGGTAAGACTAGTATGATCGAGTTCCTTGCCAAGGTCTCGGGGAACCAATTCGTACGCATCAACAATCACGAGCACACTGATCTTCAAGAGTATTTGGGAACTTACGTCTCCAGCGACGATGGCACCCTCCGCTACCAAGAAGGTGTTTTGGTAGAGGCTCTGAGAAACGGTTACTGGATAGTTCTCGATGAATTGAACCTGGCACCTTCTGACGTCCTCGAAGCATTGAACCGTCTGTTGGATGATAACCGTGAGCTCTTCATCCCAGAAACTCAAGAAGTGGTGCGTCCGCATCCCAACTTCATGTTGTTCGCCACACAGAATCCCGCCGGTCTCTACGGTGGCCGAAAGGTGTTGTCTCGTGCCTTCCGGAATAGATTCTTGGAGCTTCATTTCGACGACATCCCTGAAAGCGAACTGGAATATATCTTGAAGGAGCGCTCACAGATTGCTCCTTCGTTCTGTACTCGGATAGTGTCGGTTTACCGCAAACTCTCCTTATTGCGCCAGGCCAATCGACTATTCGAACAGAAAAACAGTTTTGCAACCTTGCGTGATCTTTTTAGATGGGCGCTTCGTCGTGCTGATGATCGCGATCAATTGGCGATTAATGGTTTCATGCTGCTGGCAGAGCGAGTGCGCAATCCTCAGGAGAGGGCTGCAGTCAAGAGCGTGATCGAGGAGGTGATGAGAGTCCGGATTGACGAGGATGTCATCTATGGCGCCTCGGAGATGGAGAAGCGTGCTCCTAATCTTGCACAGCTAGCTCCGGGAATTGTGTGGACCAAGGCGATGCGCCGACTGTTCGTTCTTGTCTCCACCGCTCTCGAGAATAACGAGCCTATTCTGCTTGTAGGCGAGACTGGATGTGGTAAGACTCAGCTATGCCAAGCAGTTGCCGAGATTTGCAGAAAACAACTGTATATCATCAACGCACATGTGAATTTGGAAACGGGTGATCTTATTGGTGCTCAAAGACCCGTTAGGAATAGGGCATCAATCGAAAGCCAGCTACTCAGCGACCTACGAACTATTTTCTCGCAGGTTGATCAGTCAGCGTCTGTCGATGATCTGAAACAGGCTTTTGGTGCTCTCAGCGCAGAGCAACTGCAAGCGCTGGACCCTGAGTTGAGACTTCGAGTCGAAAAGAACCTCGCTCGGTTGAACGCCTTGTTTGAATGGTCTGATGGAAGTTTGATCACGGCTATGAAAACGGGCCAGTTCTTCCTTCTCGATGAGATTTCACTCGCCGACGATTCTGTTTTGGAGAGGTTGAACAGTGTTCTGGAGCCTCATCGCTCCATTCTTCTTGCCGAAAAGGGCCCGATTGACTCCATGGTGGTTGCTCACGAGGGCTTCCAGTTTCTGTCTACCATGAATCCTGGAGGTGATTATGGAAAGCGCGAGCTTTCTGCCGCTCTTCGCAACCGTATGACGGAAATATGGGCTCCCCAGCTTTCTGAAGACGAGGACATTCTGCCGATTCTTCGGATGAAGCTTCAGCTAGAATCGGTGCATGTGCCTAAGGCGATGCTGCAGTTCGCCAAGTGGTTCAAAACGACATTCCAAAACTCCACGACATCTTCGCTTTCCATCCGTGATCTCCTTGGCTGGGTCGAGTTCGTCAACAGATGTCAGAGCTCTGATCCCATGTTCGCGGTGGTGCAGGGTGCCGCAATGGTGTTTGTCGACACCTTGGGCGCTAATCCTGCAGCAATCCTCGCGACAGCTTTGAATGACCTTCAAGGCAATCGTCGTTTGTGTCTAGACAAGCTGCAAGAGCTTTTTGATGTAGATGCCTTCAACATTTACTTGCAAAAGTCAACTATTGACACAGATAGCACCTCCCTTCGTGTTGGACCTTTCAATCTTCCCATCAATGCACAAGGAAGACCTGACCCCGAATTCATTATGGATGCTCCTACTACCATCGGCAACTCAGTGAGAATTGCCCGAGGATTGCAGCTCCCAAAGCCTATCCTTCTGGAGGGAAGCCCGGGCGTTGGAAAGACGACGCTAGTGACTGCGCTTGCTAAAGCTCTCGGAAAGCCACTCACTCGAATTAATCTTTCTGAGCAAACAGATCTGACGGACCTTTTTGGTTCTGATGTCCCAGTGGAAGGAGGCGATGTTGGGCAGTTCGCTTGGCGTGATGCACCATTCCTGCAAGCAATGCAACGTGGTGACTGGGTTCTTCTCGATGAGATGAATCTGGCTTCTCAGTCTGTTCTTGAAGGATTGAATGCTTGCTTGGACCATCGTCAGATGGTATATGTTGCTGAACTCGATCAAACATTCAAGAGACACCCCGACTTTGTCCTCTTCGCTGCGCAGAACCCGCATCATCAGGGTGGTGGCCGGAAAGGTCTTCCCGCGTCCTTTGTTAACAGATTTACTGTGGTATATGCCGATAGTTTCACCGACACTGATTTGAGGCGAATTTGTGCCAAGCTATTCCCTGGAAGTCCCGCCACCCAGACTGACAAGCTCGTCGAGTTCGTCTCACTGCTTAACAAAGCTATTCAAGAGCGCAGACTAGGCGCGTTGGGTGGCCCCTGGGAGGTCAACTTGCGAGACATCCAGAGGTGGCTTCAGTTGGCCGATCGAGGGAACCTGCAAGTACCTGCCGTCCATTTCCTGGACATTATTATCTCTCAGCGGTTCAGAAGTGAGGAAGACCGTAGCTTGGTGTCTCAGTTGTTTGGGAAGGTCTTCGGGGATTCTCTTACGGCCCCGAAAAGCTATTACCATAATCTGACACCAGGCTACATGCAGGTTGGACTTGGCTTCATGCGGCGTGATTCAGTCTTACAGCAGACCTCGGATCCCCAAATGCAGATTCTCCCAGGGGACTTGTCGGTCCTGGAATCACTAATGCTGTGTGTCGAGCAATCCTGGCCGAGCATTTTGGTGGGATCATCAGGTTGTGGCAAGACAACCCTCATCAGGAAGCTCGCCGCGCTGAACGGAGCCAGCTTGGTTGAATTGGCACTGAGCGCTGATACAGACACCATGGATCTTGTCGGTGGGTTTGAACAAATTGATTACAAGAGGGAAGTCTCGTCCTTGCTCCTGGAGATCTCGCAGTATCTTCAGCGACAGATTATTTCCGCGTATGCCGCGAGAGACACTGCGGACCTTTCGTCTAATCCTCTTCAGCTCTATGAGACTCTACAGAGCCCGGACGTGTCGCTTGATAGTGTGGTTGCTTCGCTTGTGAAGCTGTATGAATCTTACCCCCAACCTCTTCTTCAGGATTATGCCAACCGGGCTCAGCGCCTATCAGGCATTTCCGACAAGATGGACAAAATGAAAGTCGGGTTTGAGTGGACAGAGGGTGTCTTGACGCAGGCAGTCCAGAATGGACAGTGGGTTGTTCTTGACAATGCGAATCTTTGCAACCCGTCAGTCCTCGACAGATTGAACTCGTTGACGGAGCCTAACGGAACTCTGATCCTGAACGAACAACGTACAGAGGATGGAAATGCTCGAATTATCAAGCCGCACCCTAATTTCAGGCTCTTCTTGACTATGGACCCTCGCCACGGCGAGCTGTCTCGGGCGATGCGGAATCGTTGTGTTGAGATCTCATTCTTGCCGCAGGAAGATTTGAATTTCGCAATCTCCTCTGTGCCTGCTTACACCTGCCAATCCTCACTATACCGTCTTCGGTCCCTGTGGAATCTGGACGTTACCACGGCTCTCGAGGGCGATGAGTCCGTTTCTCTCCTCCATGAAGCGTGCTTGGATCATCTCTCGATCGCGGACCTATCATATCTTCAGCGCGTACAGGGGCTCCTCCCGTTCTATTCCTCAGTCAATGCGGACGATCCACTTCTGGCAGCCCTGCAGCGATATCTCTCCGTCATACATGACAATTCGTCTTGCAGACCTTTTGACTGTATCAAAGCGGACTTCGCAGTTGGTTTTGCCTCGGTTGCCACGCAGGGCATTTATCAACCCCTTCATCCTCTGGTGAACGAACCTCTTGCGTCGATAATGCACCAAAGTGTTCCTCTTGGCTGGCTCATGGTCCTGGCACAACTCCAAGAGTCTAAGCTCGGCTTGCAGGGCCTGAGGCAGGGCTTATTGCGGGCCAACGAATCCGGAAAGCATCTCAAGCCAAGCCAAATGAACAGCTTGGAACGCTCTCTCGCCTCTGGCCGCATCCCTTCTTTGATGAAAGATGCAACTCAGCCAGTGGGTGCCTTTTTGTCCGACTGCGGCCAGGCTGTCTACGATTTTATCCAGAGCTTAGATCAAAGCGTGTTTCAAGTTTCCGAAGTGGTCCCTGCACTTCGTGCAATGATCAATTTCTGCTCCGATATCTACTATTTGACTACCGCGAGCGAGGTGGACCAGGGCGAGTTCCAGATTTACCTTCAGCTTGGAAGAGAATTGTCTGCCTCGTTGCTTGACGGGTGGGCCCCTTTGAAACCACTGGGTCTGGCGTTTTCCCAAGCTCTTGATCGTTTCCATGAGAACTGGGCATTGACCACAGGTCTGAGCATGCAGAGACTCTGGGAGTCGTGGAGGCCAGCTACCTCTGCTACCCAGGACCAACTGAGTGCTCTTCTGGAGTTGGAGAATATTGCTCTTGAGTTTACTCAAATTGCTACCAAGACACATCTTGATTTGTCTCAATTGAGCCAGGTCCGCAAGTCTTTGATTGCAGCTCAGGAAGCCATTCTTTCGAGCGGCCATGAGGGATACCCAGTCCAGGTAAGAACATCTGTGATTATTCATTATGCTCTTCATTGCTAACATATTTCAGGACCTACGACAAACAGTCGTGGACCTCGCAGCTTGCGTGCCAGATGCAGATGCATTGCAAAAGCCCTACTTCTCTACCGAGTTCGAGGTGTTATGTCAATATCACGATCTCTCCTCACTACGTAACGGCCAGACAGTCGAAGATCAAGTCGTGCAATCAATCCTGCCGCTACTTGCTGGACGTCCCGCCAGGCCCCTTGATGCTTCAAGCTTGAAGACTCAAATCCCTGTCATCCTAAACAGGCTCTCTTTATACGCGGGAAGTGAACCTTCGTCGGCATTCGGCGCTGCAGTCAGTGGAACTTTGTCTCTGTCGCTGTTGGAAAGATTGGCCTACGTTGGAACCACAAGCCTGGGCCAGATGAATGCTTTGGAGATGGAGAAGAAAACACTTTCCAAGGCCTTGACCCTTACGAGTGGCGAGCTTGCCATTAATCAGGCTATGTTTCTTCGACAAGCAATGGCAAGGTTGACTACTGAGCTTGTCATGCTTCACAAAGATTTCTTCGAGCCGAAATCTCTGGAGCAGATTGTTTCTATCCTCCGTGGTGTCGAATCTCAAGGATCACACAAGGACTTCTCGCTGCCGAGCATTAACTTGGCCTCGAACCTGCCAGACAACCACTTTTTTAAGAGCTTCGCTCAAAGCCAGCTTCCGCGCCTATTGTCGTCCCTGATGACAGAACAGATGGATAGCACAGGCGCCGGCATCGTTCAGTTGGCTGTCATTCTCTTGCAGCTTTTTGTTCCAGATAAGCCATTTGATCCCTCATTGGGCTTGGTTGTTCAGAGGAAGAGACATGCTCGGCGCTCGCTGGAGCTAACGGCAAGAGGTAAAGCTATCTCGTCATTTGAGGTCGGCTTCTCTGGACAATCGTCCAATTTGCGACAGGAAATCATGCAGGGAGAACTGCGCAAGCTCGGCGCGGCACCCCCGCCTTCTTCTGTCACCAGACCGCAGACCTCCGAACTCAATATTCTTCATGGCGAGTTCTCTAGTCTCGTGAGATCAGTCCTTGAGCGCCACCCGGAGAACATCAAATTTGCGGGAGACGACAGCGATGCGGAGTCACAGCGGATGGTTGATCTTCTTCGTGAAAACATTCGCCAGCTCAGTAGACGCCTTACGACGAACTACCGCTCCTACGACGACATCACGACTCTAGTCGTTCGGTTTCTACAACTTCTTGACTTGGGTCTGTTCCTTTCCTCGAGCAAGTCTCGCCAGTCCAGTGATGCGCAAATCATCAAAGCCATTAGGGAGACCACTCCGTTCCTTGGTGGCCTCGTGCACCCCATTTCTGGTAGCATTTACAAGGAGTCTCACTTTGAATCTAGTCTGAACACTGATCTATGGTTCCACGAATTATCGGCGCTCAGAGTGGCTGAGAACGCGGACAAGGGGCTGATATCTACTCGGAACGGACGCGACACTCTTCGTCGTTTGTTCGAACAGTTCCATGCTCTCTGGAAAGTTAAGTTGCGAGAGGACCAAGAGGAAGAAGCTCGTAAGAACGAACTGTATCATTACAAGGGATCTTGGGAGGATGCAGAGGAAGTCGACGAGGACGAGTTGCGTCAACTGTTCCCAACGTACGATGAGAATGCAGATGAAGAAGGAAAGGTGTCCAGCCGTGTCGACCCCAAAGCAATTTCCGTCCGACTTGCATCTTTGCACGCTAAGCTCTTCAACTCCGAAAACCAAGCGGAAGTCTTGTCGGCCTATGTCAAGCAATCATCTCTGTTACTGGGCTCCTTACGATCGGACAACGGCTCATTGACCATTGATGGCCAACCCAAGGAGCAACTTTCCGGCGTTCTTCTGCTGCTTGAGGATGCTCTGAAATCAGGCGAAGTCACCTCGGGGAAGAATTACAACTTCTACGTGGATTCGAATATGGTCGAAGCTAAGAAGCTTGTTGACCTAACTCTGACGACGAAAGCTCGGTTTGCTCAAATCCAGAAGTCCTGGCCCGACCACGCAGTTCTCGCAGACGTTATTCAATGCTGCAGAGAAATTCTCCAGTTCAAGCACACTGAACCTGTCGCTAAATTCCTTACCAAGGTTGAAAAGCTTCACAGCCTTGTGTATGAATGGCAGTTGGTGGCAAGCAGAGAATACTCAGCAGCCTCCCTGTATGACGAGATCACAGGCACTATCATTGGCTGGCGGCGACTTGAATTGACCACCTGGGCGAAACTCTTGGACTTGGAGAACGACAAATGCCTCAAGGATGTCAGCTCATGGTGGTTCATCACTTACGAGGCCTTGGTCCGGGCTCCGATCCAGATCGTTGAATCCGGTGAAATGGAGCTGAAAGACCACATTCAAGAGGTTACCGCAACCCTGGAGCAGTTCTTTCGCTCCACCACTGTTGGACAATACAGCGAGCGTCTCCGACTGATTAAGAACTTCCAGTCCTTGTTGCTGCTCTATGTGGAAGATCTTCCGTCCTTGAGTCAACTCACGTCTGCTCTCGACAATTTCCTTCAGCGTTACAGACAGTTTGAACCTCCTGTGCTCAAATTGTTGGCTGAAAAGAGGCAGGCACTTGAGAAGAATATTAAGGAGCAGATTCAGCTTGCTAGCTGGAAGGATACCAACATTGTCGCCCTCCGGGAAAGTGCTAGACGGTCACACGTCAAACTGTTCAAGTTGGTTCGCAAGTATAGAGAGGCTTTGGCCCAGCCAGCTCAGCCTATCCTGGAGCAAGACATGCCAGAGGACAACGAGGATACGGCTGCTCCTCAACGATTGGTTCTTCCTTCCTTCGTCTTCCCCGAAGCCCTGGCGATGTGTCAGACGGAGGAGAAAGCCTGGATCGATAGACCACCTCGATTTAAGAACCCCGACAACACTGCTAGCAGCATGATGCAGGTGTATGGTTCGATCTCGAAAGAATTCGATGTTGCCGAAGACCTCGAGAGCTTTGTCAAATATGTCGTTGAGAGTATCAAGGAGTTCAAATCACAGACCCCGAAAACCTTGACGGAAGAGAACAAGGATGATGTCCAGCATCTCAAGGTCCAGAAGCGTCGTTTCTATGCTGACACGTTACACCGGATCTACGAAATGGGTGTGAAACGTAACGTCAACACCAGTTTGCTGGAGGCACAGGCATCTGTTCCCCAAGTCCTTGCCACCATCCCGGCTTTCGAAGCTGGCATCGCCGACGCACAGTTGCTTAAGAAGGCAGATTCATATTTCCACCGTTTCCTGGACCTGCTGCCTCGTGTCCGCTTAGCGGCGCGCGACTACTCTGAGGATCTTAGCAACGTCGAGATATCCAGAAGCTCGGGATCTATGGAGCACCTTCTGCACCTCGTTCGTAAGCAGAGAACTTCGATCTCTCCCGCACTGTCAAATTTGAAGTCGCTTGATTCACTCCTTTCTAAGGTCGCCAACCTCTGGACCGCCGATCCCCTCTCTATCTTCAAGGCCCATTCAGGTTTCTCGAATGGAAGAGATGACACCACAAGGGCAGTTGCATGGCTGGCTCCTATTATCGGCCTGGCAATCACTGTCGTGGGACTTCACGCCAAATTTTCGGGCATCAACTCTACAGGCGTGATTGAGAGCCTACAGGCTTGGAAAGACACGTTTGACCGCCTCAAGACAACACTGAGCCATCTCCCCGAGTTGCCTGAGGGAATGGCTTCACGTGTGCACAAGAACACCGTAGAAGAAGCTTGCACGGCTTTCACGAGGCTGAATTTTGACCTCGCCACGTGGACCGAGGAGCGCCCTGACCTGTCCTTTGTTCTGGGCCAGATCATCCCATGGTCGACGGTCAATGCCGTCGCATATGAGTCTGAGAGCCATGACCTTGGCGTTTCGATCGAAGAATACGATTCGAGTCTCATCGCAGCCGCTGACAAGATCCTTGTCAGTATCCAGAAGCTGAACGAAGCTCCGTCGCAAATCACCGCCCCTGGTGCGCTGTCCCGGAGTGACGACTTCTTCGTCCGGGCACTCAGGCTCCTTCGCATGGAGGACATCTCGACTTCCCTCAAGTCTGTCCTTGACAAGCTGCAGCACCTCCAGACTCGCTCGCCTTCCAGCCTTCCGTTTGCCATTGCCTTGACGGCGACCCTGTTGCCGATTCTGAATAAGTTCGCGCATATCTGTCGAGACGTGGTCGATCGCTACCTGACGGTGCACAAAGAGACATGTAAGATGTCTTACATCCTCGCTAAATCGTTCACACAGATCGCATCGGAAGGCTTCTGTAGCCCGTCTGAACCGTCCACGGAGGAAAGCAAGTCTGGACAGTTGGAGAGTGGCACCGGTCTTGGCGAGGGAGAGGGGGCCGAAGATATCAGCAAGGATGTAGCCGACGACGAGGACCTGACGGAACTGGCCCAGGAGGACAAGCAAAAGACCGATGAAGAGATTGAGAACTCTGAAGATGCGGTCAACATGGATCAGGAGGAGATGCAAGGTGAAGAAGGTGAAAGAAAGGAGGGAGACGACGAGGATGACAATGAAAGCGGCTCAGACGAAGAGGATGATATTGATGAAGAGGTAGGCGATGTTGATGATCTCGATGCCTCGGCTGTCGATGAGAAGATGTGGGATGGCGAGCACGATGATCAGCAGAAGGAGACTGAGACCCAAGAGGGCAAGGGCGCGGCGGAGAATGATGAGCAGACAGCCGCGCCTGACCAGCAACCTGGCCAGGAAGCTGAGAAGGGTGAAAACAAGGAGGGTGAAGAGGAGGAAGAGGAAGAAGATGACGAAGAAGGTGAAGAAGCTCCTGATGAGGAGGGTGAGGCTGTTGGGCGTGAAGATATGGATGTTACCGATCCACATGCCAAGGAAGAAGAGGCGCTCGATCTTCCAGAGGAGATGCAACTGGATGGGGATGAGAAGGGTAACGAGGAGCCTGAGGAAGACGACGGCCTTGATGATGACATGATGGATAATAACCTCCCTCCTGCGGAAGAAGAGCAGCAAATGGAGGGAGACGGCGTCGAAGATGAGACCATGGAACAGGATGGGGAGGAGCAGGAGATTGATCAGACTGAGGAAGCTGGTCCCGATGACGAGCTGGGCGATGCGGACGAGGCTGAAGGTAATGATGAGGCAAATGAGGCCGGCGAAGAGGCAGAGGAAGAAGAGAAGCAGGAAGATGACTTCCTTGCCCAACGCGATGAGAACGAGGCTGCTGGCGAGGAGGTCGCTCCTAGCGAAGCTGTCAACGGTGGCCTTGGAGCCGAGCAAGATCAGAACCAGGAGAAGGGCTCGTCCGGTAACGCGCAGCAGGAGAGTGGCTCCACCGATCCCTCTGACGAGAAAGAGCAGAAGACTGGCGCTGCACAGGAAGGAGATGAGAATCAAAGACATAAGGATGAAGGCGGCGCCAACGATTCCAACCCAGAGGATCCTCAACTCCAAGCGTTCAAGAAACTGGGCGACGTCCTCGAGCAATGGCATCGTCGACAGAAGGAGATAATGGATGCTTCCAAGCAGGAAGACGATGAGGCCGAAACTCGACTGCCTGAGGATACTGATATGGCGGATGCCGACTTCGAACATCTTGCAGATCAAGACGATGTTGCCGACACCCAAGCGCTTGGTCAGGCCAACGAAGAACAAGCCAAGGCTCTCGACCAGAACAAGGGCGTCGAATCGGATGTCAAGCCGGACGAGAACAATGAACTCCTGCCAGACATCACCGACGACAACATCCAGGATCTCCCCGAGCACCGTCTTGAAGACGAGATGCAGCTCGACCAGGGAAGCGCCTCCACTGAGTCGCAAACGGCCGGTGCTTTCATCCCTGGAAACCTTCAAAGCCAGGAGCGGGCAGATGCCACTGCAGGCCAGGACGCAGCCGATGAGGAACTGGACGAGGTCGATGCACACCTGGCTGCAATCCACCTATCCTCGACCCTTCCCCCGCTTACGCCACGGGACGAAGCTCAACGACTCTGGTCGTACTATGAGTCTGCGACCACCGATCTCTCCTTGTCGCTAACGGAGCAGCTGCGACTTATCCTTGCCCCCACGCTTGCGACCAAACTCCGCGGTGACTTCCGCACCGGCAAGCGGCTCAACATCAAGCGGATCATCCCGTACATCGCCTCGCAGTACAAGCGGGACAAGATCTGGATGCGGCGGTCGATTCCCTCGAAGCGCAACTACCAGATCATGCTGGCGGTCGACGACAGTAAGTCCATGCTGGAGAGCGGCAGTGGGCAGCTGGCCTTCGAGACGCTGGCGCTCGTGGCGAAGAGTCTGAGCATGCTCGAGGCCGGCGACCTGTGCGTGCTCGGCTTTGGAAGCGAGGACCACGTGCGAGTGGCGCACGAGTTCGGCAAGCCGTTCTCCTCGGAGGCCGGCACCCAGGTCTTCCAGCACTTCAGCTACCAGCAGACGGGCACTAACGTGCGCAAGCTGATCGCCGACTCCATCGCGCTGTTCCGCGAGGCGCGCTGGAAGCAGTCCCCCGGCGGCGGCAACGCCGACCTGTGGCAGCTCGAGCTGATCATCTCCGACGGCATCTGCGAGGACCACGAGACCATCAGCCGCCTGGTGCGCCAGGCGCAGGAGGAGCGCATCATGATCGTCTTCATCATCGTCGACGCGGTCAAGGGCAGCTCCATCCTCGACCTCACCCAGGCCAGCTTCGAGCCGGACCTGGACAGCGGCAGCGGCGAGATGAAGCTGAAGATGAAGCGCTACCTCGAAGGATTCCCCTTCCCGTATTATCTGGTGGTGCGTGATGTGCGCGAGCTCCCCGCGGTTCTGGCGACGGCGCTGAAGCAGTGGTTCGCCGAAGTGGTGGATGTTTCTTCTTAGAGTTTCAACGGGGTGGTGTTTCGTTAGGGTTAGATACAAAAGTTCTGGGTTAGCATTTACTGTATATACTGGTTGCATGTAGTTTAGCAAATAGATTTTCATTCATGATAGCTGCTTCGAGATGTAGACTTCAGCATAGAGAAAAAATTGATCATTTGTTTCATGAACCAAGATCATGCATGCACTCTAGCATGTCGCAAAACAGCTGCGCAATTTTGCCCAACTTTGCTACAAGACACTCCATATCCTGCTAGATTTACAAGACAGTCCATCCCTATCCCTGGGAAAATTACCAATCAAATGGTAACTACATACACAGCCTGGACGTCAGCATCAGACTTCACCTCCAACCTCCCACTTCTCACTTCCCCCTTGGCCCTTGGCCCTTGGCGGCCAACAGCTAAAGAGATCTCCCAATCACCATCCAACCCAGCCCACCCAGCAAGATAGATAATCCTCTACCAGCCATACTTCGACCCGGCCTCCTTCTTGTTCCTCCGCCCCGTCGCGAAACTCTCCTCCAGCGCCTCCCGCTGCGTGCTCGCCGCACTGACCAACTGCTGCAGCGTATGCTTGCCCGGCGCGATCGCCCGGACGGGGTTATGCTGCGCGGCCGCGAGGTCCTCGTGGGCCATGTGCTGGTTGGCAGCGTACTCCTGGTCGGTGTTGAAGTGGAGGACCCGCGGGGCTGCTGCGGTTGCGGCTGATCCGGAGGGGTCGGCGGACCGGCCGAAGAGCTGGCGCCGTTGGGCGCGAGTGAGGTTAAGGTCGTCTGCGATGGCGCCGAGGGTGGTGTTTCCTGATGCGGTTGAAGGTGGAGTGTAAGAGGGGTGTGTGAGTTCGGGAGCGGCAGCGGAGGCAGGTTCGGGGCCGGCGGGCGCCGCTGCCTCTTGGGTGCTGGTGTAGACTAGGGGTTCGTAGGCTGCTGGCGCTGCTGGCGCTGCTGGTGCGGTGACGGTCTCCTCCGTCGACGAGGAGAGAGAGAACAGACTGATCTTGGGTTTGGGCGGTGCTGGCGCTGGCGCTGGCGCAGCCGCCGCTACAGGTGGTGCAGCACCAGCACCAGCCGACGAACCAACCCCAAGATCCTTCTTCAACGGCCCCGCCGCCGAAGCACCACCACTTCCAGTTACAGCAATTGGCCCGGCGGCCTTCCGCTTCCCTTTTCCCTGCGTCCCCCGCCCAACCGACAACGGCTTGAACATCATCGGATTCCCCTTCAACTTGACCTCCTGCGGTGGCTTCGCACCCTCATTCTTCCCTCCCCCTTCCCCTTCCCCCAGAATATCGTCCTCACCCCCCCGCAAACTCCCCGCCTTCGGAATCGTCTCAACCCCATCCTCGCCCCCTAACCGCCCAAAAGCCATCTCACTCCGCATCTCCGCGTCCGCCTGTCGATCGAACCCCGGCGTCGCCCCCGTCTTCAGACTGAATACCTTCCTCGTGGATCCGGTCGCAGACGGTTTAGGAGTGGTGGCGGGTTTCTTGGGCGCGGGGAGGAGCGCATTGAATCCCGCGAATGCGCCGCCGCCGCCGATTCGGGGCTTTTTGCGCGCGGGTCCGTCGGTGTCTTCGTTGGTGCTGGTGCTGGTGCTGGGGTCGGGTTTGAGGTCGGGGAGGGCGACGCGGATTTTGCGGGGGTTGCCGCGGTCGATTTGGAAGGGGTTCGGGGTTGTTGATGAGGTTGTGGTTGTGGAGGGTGGTGCTGGTGCTGTTGCGGTGGATGTGGGTTTCTTCGTCGTGGTGGTGGTGGTGGTGGTTTCGGGTTCGGAGTCGGAGGCTTCCGAGTCGGAGTAGGCGACTAGGGCCATTGCGGTTCGTGGGTGTGTGGATGCGAGCTGTGTAGCGGGGGTTGAGGAGGTGGTTATGAAGGTGATGGTGGTGGTGGTGGTGGTTGGTTGCTTTGAGGGAACAAATATTCGGAGATGCGCGCGGGATTGCGGGCTGGGCTGGCTGGCTGGGCTGCAGGCGCGGCGATGGATCTAGTAACATTCAGGTGCCACTGCAGTGGTAGCTTTAGGGGCCTGATGGTTCAGGCGGCAACACGGGCGGTGTGTCGACCTCCGTGGTAAGTTAGTGGTTCTAGCTTGAGTGTATTGCTGCGGGCCTTGCGCGTATACTTCAGGTGGTTTTTGTCGCTTGGTACTCTATCTGCCACGAGCTGAGATATAGTTCGAGTCCCTGAGGCTCATGCAGAATGTTCTGGTCAAATGCAGTCCTATATGTTGCATCAAAAGGAATTTCTGTGACATCATGCTGCTCTTTCACATGACCGTCAGATAAGATAACAGCTATGCTGTAGCCCTAAGTCTATGGTGCTACCGTTCAGATCAAAACGCTCAACTTCCTGCTTGAGTTCTGTCACTCTACGAGTATCATTGGCTGTCTGAAATAATACTCCACATATGAATTCACGATGCCGTTACGGAGAACATTGAAAGGCATAGACGAGGCATATTCGTGAGCGTGGGCTTGAGCCATATCGAACTGAAGCCGACCGCTACGACCTCCGTGCAAACACGGCACGTCTAGCCAGCCAACAACTGATCGTCACCTCCGAGACTGACTCATCCTCTCTACGAGAGAAACAGAGACTCCAGTCCCCCGGCGCAGGGGCATCCATTCCCCGCGGACAGGCCAAGGCCCACACTGATCCATTCTTGCACTCGCCCAAGTAACGCATAAAATGCACCGGACCACGGCCGAGAAAGCCATCAAAGTATCCATACAGCAGTCCGCCACTTTCGGCACAATAGAAAGTCGAGTCCAGTTCGCGGCAGACATAAGTTCCAGCAAAAGTCTTCCCGTCTGGCTCTGTAGGAGAGCGGACAAGCCGGTGAGCAGTGATATGCCTATTCGGCTGCGGCCAGTCGAGACGGAGACGGTCATCCTCCAGCGTGGCCAAAGTGGTGCGAGATTCAGCCCGCTCTGGTCGCACGGGGACCAAAGTGTCCGGCTCGCCCGCATAGGTGACGACAATATCCCCAGTATCAGGGCGATTCTTCACCTTAATGGCCAGGCAAGCCTCTTCGTCCCAGTAGTATCCCGGCCAATTTTGCGAGCTGAGTGTCACACTATGGGACACTGAGCGTAGCACTTCATCTTTCTTCAGAAGCCTCGCCAAAATATCCTGCGCTGCCTTCTCGGCGTCCGCATCATGGTTGAACATTACCACTACAGAGAGCTTCTGAGAGGGAACGTGACGCCTGTGCAGCCGGTAGCCGCGCAGAGCACCCCCGTGGCCAACCGTCGGCACGCCTGCCACCACAACGTGCTCGAGGCCGTAGCCGTAGGGGGCTGGGGTCCCGTCCGCGAACGTGGGAGGGAGGGCCATTTCTCGATAGATGCTCGTCTCGTCCGCCCAGCTGCGATGGAGGAACTTCTCGTACGCGATCATGTCTGCCAGCGAGGCCACGACGCCCGCGTCGCCGGACCAGTGGATCCGATTGACAGCGGCGATGTAGCCGCGCGCCTCGTCCCCTTCGTATCCCACGCAATCTCCAGGCAACGAGGCATTGTCCGGATGTAAGCGCGCGGACGCCATTGCTGCCGGTGTGAAAACATGCTCGCCGAGCCACTGGCCCAGCGGCTTGTTACCGGAGGGAAAGCAGGTGCGACTGCAGCGCTCGATGACCTGTGCCAGAATGTGGAAGTTGGTGTTGGCGTAGGAGTATTGGGTCCCTGGGGTGAAGTGAGGGGCACCTAGGCGTTCTAGCATCTTTTCTCCGGCTTCGGGTAATGAAAAGACTCCGTCCGGTCGAGCGCCCCAGAGTGTAGTCAGGGCCCAGTAGTCTCGTAGGCCGGATTGGTTGTCGCAGAGTTGACGGAGGCTCGGTTTGGAGGCTCCTGGGAAGGAGTCGAGGTTATCGGGACAGACTTCGCGGAAGTGGGAGTCTAAATGCGACTGAACTTGGTCGTCACCGCCGAGATGGGATTGCAGTTGTCTTTCCAGTGCCTTAAGACACATGCACACCATCTGTTTGGTGATCGAGCAGATAGGCATCATCGTTTCCGGTGTCATTGGAATGCGCTGGTCGATATCAGCGTATCCCCAGACATGTTGCCCAAGCACGTTTCCATCCTCAAGAACGGCTATTGCACCACCCGGACCACGATAGAGAGCCGGGGACTGCTTGAGCACATTTTGCACGGCTTGGTGGATTGAAGACATGATGGTTCAGTTGCTGTTGCGCGAGAGGATCGAATGGATTGTTTACCCCGCTTTGATGGGATGATGGTTCAAGATAGATAACTGATACCCGACTCCGCGCTAGCTGATAAGCATGGAGTCCAGTACTTCATACAGCCTCGGGGTCACATGCTGGCAAGGGTAAGGGATAAATAATTGGCATCTAGAAGTATAATTGGTGATTGAGGGATGGGTAAGATTGTGGAGTTGGACTAGATCAAGGTGGTACAACAACATATTGGCTAGTGAGGGAAAGATTACATCAACCAGCATCATTGGTCTAGTGGTAGAATTCATCGTTGCCATCGATGAGGCCCGTGTTCGATTCACGGATGATGCACTTACTTTTTCGATTTTCTACTGCCTCCAGGGTGGGTAGCTGAAATGCCTTTTTGACACCCACCGAAGCAAATGGTGCTGTAAGCTGACAACCCCGCATATAACCTACCAAGTATATCGCTTGACAGGAAGTTCCAAGTTGCTATATGCTGGTCTTGCTGCATCCGTGTTTGCAAGACTACTAAGCTTTATTCGGTATGGCTTATGATGCTAACTGATACACGGCGATTGCTTACACATTGACACAGATCGAGTATACATGCCCTGCCCAAGCAGTTCTCCCCCTACACAGAGTGAAGTGAAGCGCTATCGTACATCCTTTCGCAACGCCACAATTCACACCGAATTACAACGAATCCGAGAGGCTGATTTCCAAGCACAATATGGCTCAGGATCAGAGCCCACTTGAGGGAGCTGAAGTATCGGAAGAAACCTCCTCCGTGGAACTCGTTGACCGCGACCTGGGCTCGAAATTCATTGCTGCAATTGTCAACGATTCTGCGGGGGATGTGCAGAAGATAATCAGCGATGGTGCTCTGAATGTGAGGTTCGAATATGCCGTCGACTCTTGACTGAAAGAGTCTCGGTATGGATCACGCAGAGTTAACCCTGCTGCTAGGCGGCAGCAGGACTGGACACCCTCATCCTCGCTGCGAGTTTGGGACGGGATGATATCGTCCACTTACTACTGCGCAGTCATGCCGATGTGGATCATACGACTAGCATGGCAGAGACAGCCTTGCATCACGCCGCTCTTGGGGGCCATACCAGGATTGCATCGGCGCTCCTGGCAGAGCATGCGGTGATTGATGCTCAGAATTCCGAAGATATGAGACCTTTGATGCATGCCTGTTGGGAAGGTCATCTTGAATGTGTTCGAGTGTTGGTGAGCCACGGGGCCAATGTAAGCTTGACTGACTCTCTGGACTGGACTCCTTTGTTCTTTGCCGTCTGCGAGCATCAGATCGAGATCGTGCGACTTCTACTGCAGACCTCCGGCATCCCGCGATTAGACCGAAGGCGAATGCTTAACACTCAAAATCACGAGAAGAAGGCCACGCCCCTGAGAGAGAGTATATACTTGGGGGATAAAGAATGTACCAATGAAGTACTTGCCGACCCAGATGTTGACATGACCGTTGCCGACCACAAGGGTGACACGCCAATGTCAGCGAGCGCAGCAATATGCGGTTTTCCGACCCTCTTGCAGATATTTCAGATGCCAATGTATAAAATCACCGATCCGCTCGAGTCCTCTCCCTGCTTAGCAACGCCCCGCGAACTCAAACGAGTGGAAAGGGCTTTACTGGATGGATTCTCTCGTCTCGAACCATGGGAGTCAAACCTCCCCATCGTTATGCAATGGGCGGTAGTGAACGGCAGTCTGCCCTTGGCAAAGAAGTGCCTGGACACTCTGCCAAGCCTCGTTGACTATTCGGGTCCCATGCGAGCAACATGGCTACATATTGCATCGCGGTTTGATAACGGCGAGTTGGCTAGAAATCTGATCATGTATGGTGTCGATGTCTACGCCACCACAGAGCGTGGCATGACTGCCCTTCATCTGGCTTGTGTGGGAGGACATAGCGTCACGGTGAGATATCTCCTGGAGCACCTCACAAGCCAGGCGGGGAATCAGGCGCCAGGGCCGGGGGCTGCAACCCCGCGCGAATGCGATGCAGCGAGATTGATCAAGTTCATCATGGCAGTTGACAAGCTTGGAGAGTCCGCAATCAGTCTATCTGCGAAGGCCAAGGGTAGAGGTACCAGTGACATACTGTGGGCGGAAATCGAAACCTTTGCAAGCAACAGGGAGAATTTGAAAAGCTTCTCTCACGCCGATCTCGAGCGACTTATGGAGCGTGCAGCCCAATTTGAGGAACCTGGTAGTGAACGGATACTCAGGGTCCTGTTGCATCTTTTACATCCGAAGACCGTCGAGAAAGAAACGGAAGTTGATACGTCGAGCTGGACGACTTTGCACTCTGCTGTGCAAAGTGCCAGGCCGGAGCTGGTCTGGTTGCTGCTCTCGAACGGAGCACACTTGAAGAAGAAAGAGATTAGTCAAGCTGTGCAGATTCTGGAAAGCAGGACCCAACTGGTTCTCAGTCCGAGGCCGATTCGGTCATTTCTCGTCGCCTTAAGAGCCCGCCACGGGTTAGCGCCCACGCGGCTATTGAGGACGACTATCACCAACCTGAGATAAAATTCTTAGGGATGAGAGCAAGTATTTCATCGAAAACAACACTGGAATCATCGTGGATCTCTTTGATGGAGCGGGATTTGTGATAAAACGGAGAACCCTGAGTGAGATTATTTACGACAAAGGGCCTGAACTTATAATGAGGAGCATGACTTCTCGAGCTTGACTCAATTGAAGCAATATCTAAAAGACCAGAACCAACAATCGAGCTCGATTGACCTGGAGTCCTCCAATGAATTGGGATTCAGATCTGCCAAGACACAAGCGCCTGTTGACCAGACAAATGTTGCTGATCGACCGGCCATGTCAAGGCGAGAACAGCAACAGGAGAGGAATGAAAGCGCTACTCCTAGACAACAACTGACCGAGAAAGAGTCAAGGGATTTTCGATGGATTCACGCCCCCGTCCACAATGTACGTGCTGAGCTCTGAATCCGATTGTCCGAGTCCGACGCTAACAAGGGCAAATTCTCTGAGTAGATGCAACTGGCCGAGGTATGTCTGGAGCCTCTGATTCAGAGTAATGTCTGGCATTTCATGCCATGTGATCGCTCATCGGACCTGTTAAGATCTAATCACGCGGGCTGGGATCGATTCTCGCAAGACCAAAGAGGAGCACGAGTACTTGATGAAACTCTTAAGGCTCGGCTTGCTTGAAAGCCCTGTAGGGGGTGGAAAACGATACATAACGCCACAATTACTAGTGGGAGCTTGCTTAAAAAATATCTTTGATTCTTTCTATCCACTAAACACTTTCAGGTAACTGCTCCAATGAACAAAGCTGGAAGGACAACCCAAGGAGAAACTTCGAATATGACGGACCCTGCCGGTGAGGATGAAGAATCAGCAGCGCTTTATGTATGCTCCTCTTGTTCGTGACAGATGCTCGATAGTTTGATTTTTGACAGATGCCATTTCTAACAGTTTCCGAGATCGGAGAGTTGTTTTCGAAGTCTGGTGGAATCGAAGTTTCATCTAAAGCAGCACCATCGACCACAGAATCAAAAGAGAATGGACTCGCGTTGAATGTTCATGAGCGTAGGACTCTCGATCAATACCACTACAGCATTGTGGCGGATACCACAATCCGAGACCGCGAACAGGTCCTTTCTCGATACCTGGAATGGCGAAACAGTGGAAACCATCCGATGACCCATTCTCGCAAAGGGAAAACAGAAGTCGGGACTTCCAGCGGACTATCTCGGAAGGTTCCAGTGCTTTCAGTCGATCAGCTGTGGCTATGGATTGTTGATGACGGTGTGGACATTTGGTTCCTGCATTCCGCAGGCTTGAAGTACTGATTCCACTCTTTCCCATTACTGACTGTCTACTAGTTACCATCGTGACTGCCAGCACATGCGACTTTGAGTCCTTTGACGATCTCGTTTTGGAAGAGCTGGTGTTCAGTGAGTCGCGGGGCAAGCATCCTAGTCCGAGGACAGCTCCTGAAATGATGGAAACTATTTTGAGAGTCATCACGGGTCCGCAGATGCAAAGTGTCAGCGTCAAAGGCAACCACAATCTGAAGCAGCCCCTGGAGATCTTTCGGGATACAATTCGACTCGTGGTGAGTGTGAAGAAGTGGCATTTGTTCGGGGCTCCCTTCCGCTTGATCAGAACACTAAGACGCCTCCGTAGGCCGAAGAGGAAACTAAAATGACGAGGGCTTTCATTGAAGAGGTCGTCGGCGCATCGACTGGCGCCTATCCCCTGCCCAGGCGGGACTTGGGCTTGGAGTTCCAACTACTGTACGAGATCAAGGACATCCAGAATGAGTTGGATATCCTTCTCGCACTGACCAAAACACAAGAGTCGGTGTGCTCTTCAAGCTACCCTACCTCAATGGAGGATCTTGCACCCTCTATGCGCGCTCTGCGCATAGAGATACTGGCCGTGCAGCGAGAGGCTCAAAGTACACGAGAATCAGTGAGTCTTGAAATTGCAGCATGAAGCTCTCCCGCCGTCTGATGATGTATCTTTGAAACCGTTCAGATCAACACACTTCTGGATATCCGCCAGAAACATACAGGTAACCAAGACGCCGAATTCGGACGACAGCAGGCTTATACCACCATGGTCTTCACTATTGTTACGATTGTATTTGTGAGTGTGCCCTGCGGCGGCGAGGCGACGTCTTTCAGTGGACAATGCATACTGACACACCACACTCGCAGCTTCCCCTCTCCTTTCTTACATCCCTTTTTGCACTAAACGTCGCTGTCTTTCCCGAATCCCCTTATCCCAACCAGTGGATCTTTCCCATTCTGTGTAAGTAGTGCGACAAATCCAGGGAAATGGGAAAAGCCAGGTGTTGATGGCTGCATAGTCGGGTGTTCCGCCGCCTTTTCCATTCCAGCGATTGTGGTCGCTCTCAATGTGAACGAGTTGGTGATGAAACCATATTATCGCTGGCGCCTCTCATCTCGGCCGGAGCGAGACCCAGGAGGAAGGAAGCCAAGGACGCGGACAATTCACCACTGGAGACCGTCCCTCGTGGTGGAGGAATGTCGAGTATCGTTACAGCTCTGCAAAGAATGGGTCCATCTGGAGGTTCCTTGCTCGCTAGGAGATTCAGAGATAAGAAAATCGGGGGCTGAGAGGGGCGAGACTACGACGCCTCTGTGTGCTGATACAACCACGAAACAAGTTCCAGGGTCTTATTCGATGTTGAAAATAGCTTCTAGAATGTTATAACGTGATCTTAGTTGTCCAGTAAATTACGTACTAACTTATGTAGTAAAGTTAGCTTGTAGTCCCTCAGTGCAGTCACGCTATACCGCATCCAGTAATCCGTCGTCAATGCAGGTGCAGTGAGTCCCGCCATCCGTCCCCGCCAAGAGTCCGGAGTAGTTTCCACTGCTGGGTTCATTCCACATTTACTTCAACACCAACCTACCACCTTCATTATCTCGACACCGTCACTCTTTCCCAACACCTAACCTCCTCACGAACCGCCCCAACACAACCGAATCACTTCGTTCACCACCAGAACTCTACCTTCCCTTCTCCCATCGCAATCGAACATCCTAACCTCAACAATGCCGTGAAACGAACCTTCATTCAACCACGCGCATCCTCCCCACACCATTTCACAACCATCACCGACCTCATACGACCACCTACCACCTCACCACCTCAACCCCACCAAAATGCCCGAACCAACAGCCCAAACCTCACCTCCACTCCGACCCCCTCACCCTCCCTCCCAAGAAAACCAGCAACAGCACCACCAACAACCCCGCCGCAAAAGATTCCGCTTCAAATCGCCCTCCCGCCCCAGCTCCAAATCCAACCCCAACCCCAAAGACCCCCACGAAAAAGAAACCCGCCACACCGCGCACCGCGCCCGCCGCGCCCACCGCAACCGCCACCGCACCCCCAAAACCCCCGAAACCCCGGACCCAGCCTCCACCCCCCCAGCACAACTAGACCCCGACACCGCCTTCCGGGAGTCCCTCTTCGACGCCCTCGGCGACGACGAAGGCGCCACCTACTGGGAATCCGTCTACGGGCAACCGATCCACACGTACGCGGTCCCCAGCATGCCCACGGGCCCCGCGGGGGAACTCGAGCAGATGGACGAGGAGGAGTACGCGGCCTACGTGCGGAGCAAGATGTGGGAGCGGACGCGGGAGGGGATGCTCGAAGAGCAGGCGCGGTTGCGGGCGGAGCGGGACCGGAAGCGTCGGCAGGAGAAGACACAGCGGCAGGCCGGGGAGAATGCCCGCAGGGCGTTCGATGAGGCCATCGAGGCGAGTCTGCGGCGCGGGAGGGAGCGGAAGCGCGAACGGGCGTGGAAGGAGGCGTGGGAGGCTTATCGGGGGTGTTGGGGGAGGTTGGATGGGGCTGTTGCTGCTGCTGCTGCTGGTAAACAATTGGGGAAGGAGGAGGGGGAGGGAGGGGATAAAGGGGCCAAGGGCAGTTTCCACAATCTCGTCTTCTGGCCCGTGGACTCGGGGAAACGCAGGGATGTGAGCAAGGAGAATGTGGAGGGGTTTATGCGGCATTCCCCTCAGGCTGCCAACGGGCCGTCGGAGTTGTTGGCCGTGCTGAAGGCGGAGCGCGTTCGCTGGCATCCGGACAAGATCCAGCAGCGGTATGGAGTGCTCGGGATCGAGGAGGCGGTGCTGCGCTCGGTGACGGAGGTGTTTCAGATTATCGATCACTTGTGGAATGATCTTAGGACCAGGGAATCTGCCTGATCCCGGTCCGACTTTGTCCAGTTGGCATATATGCATCACTGGCGCGTGTGCTTTGATTAGCGATTGATACCCTCGAGCTATAGATTACGACTAATACAACGATTACCAAAACACCGTAAGTCCTCAAGGCTAAGAAATCTTCACCTGCTCAGTCGAATTCATATACGCATGCACAAGAAACTAAAAGCGTTCTCATCTCTTTACCTACCCACCCACCGCACTTCAGAATCTCGAGTACCGCTGCTTGGACCGATAAGCAGTCCAACCCACGTACGCGCCCACGACTGCGGCCAGGAACAGCACAACCTTGAACAAGAACCAGCCCCAGCTGCCCTTCTTCTGGCGGCGCTTGACCCGAGCCGAATCCTGCCCGCGGGCGCGCGAGGGCCCGCTCTTCGCACCGGGGCTGCCGCCGCCGACGCTGTACAGGTTCTGGGCCTTGACGGAGACGATGTCGAAGTTGTCGCTGAGCTCGCCCGTCTCCGCGGAGAAACCCAGGTAGGCGACGGAGGGGATGGCGATGTTCTTGTCCTCGGCGTTCAGCTCGAAGCACTGGATCCAGGTGTCCTCCTTCTTGTACTGCAGTTCCAGCGTCAGGGTCTTATCCTGGAAGTAGGTCAAGCGGGCCTTGGTGGGGATGGAGGCGCCACGGAGACCGCGAGCCTGTTGTTCGGCAAACAAAGCATTAGTATCCGCAAGGAAAAAGTCACAAAAGCAGAGGCACAACGTACAGAGCATCCAGCCAACTCATTGGCGCGGCCATCATGGGCCTGGTCGTAGGAGGTCTGCCCATCACCCATCATGGCCATGACGTAGGGGAACGTAGTACCGGGGCGGTTGTTCTTGTAGGTGTCGAAGAAGATGCCCAGACCCTCGAAGTTGTCCGTCGAGCCGAAGACGGGACCCTGCGTCGCGCGCTGCTTGGTGAGCCACATGGCGAACCCATCGCCGTGCAGGTTGCCGGCGCCGTGGATCTTGAACTCGACCTCGATCTATTATAACAGAACGTCTCGCATATCAGCCCACCGTGCCCCCTCATCAACCATTTCCCCCCACCGTGCAAAAAACCATCAAGCACAATTGAAACTAACCTCCCAGTTCGTCGCGGTTAAGGGCACCCGAGAGAAGATCCATCCCTGCTGTGAAGGTCGATCGGAGGTAAGACGGATGTATCTGGAACGAAAGAACAACGCAACGCGCAAGTGGTCAGTTTTGCACCGAACCGATAAGTGTCGGGGGATCTCTCGTACTGGTCCGCCCGGATTATCGTATCACCACCAAAATCGAACCAGCGGCTTTGGAAGTCGGAGTCCAAGTATGGCTATGTAGTCCGTGGGTCAGTAAGAGGGTGGTAATGTTGCTGTTCGTGCGCAAGAGAAACCCTACCGGTGCGAGACTATGGGTCCGAAGCTATACCACCCTCCGCGCGTCGCATTAGTTTATGAATGATCTAGGGTAGCAAGAGCGATCTGGTCGTCCTGAGTCTGGGCTTGGATGGCTACACACCGGGATGCTCTTCACATCATCGCCGTCGTAGGCATTGGCCAGGGGGACCGAAGCGAGGCCAGCAAGGCAGAGGAGAGACGAGAGCCGCGGAAGCAGCATGGTGATATCACACAATCTCAATTGAAACTTGGCTGTACACCCAAAGGTCGGTGAGATCGAAGAATAATCGACGAAAGCGCGCAAGGTCGGCAACAGGTCGCGAATGGGAGAAAGATAGCTTTTTTTTTTTGAATTTGGTCACCAGGACGTATAACAGCTTCTGGCAAAGGTTCGGGTAAAAGAGCACCCTCCCCCCACACGTCAGATGGCCAGCAAGCTTGAGGGTTGGAGGAAACTCAAATAAACAAACCAGAAATCCAGAACTCACCTCAATCGACGGAAGAAGAATAAAGACTCCGGGAAAGGGGGAGTTTCACAGAAAGTTATTTGGAGGGGAGAAAAGAACGAACACCGGAGATAGTCGGAGGGGAAAGGAAGAAGAGAGAGAGAGAGAATGACAGGTGGTGTGTGTGTGTGTGTGGTGGTTGGATGAGGAGAAGGGATCTATAACTAACTAAACAACCACATAGCGGGAAACTCTCCAAGTGTCCACATCGCCGGTACGGTTTAGCTTAGCTAGTAGCTCATTGTCGTGGCGCAGCTTTTCATCGGACCGGACACTCACCAGCCACAATATGATCTCCGCGGCCGCAAGATCTTGAAACCTCCCCCGAATCGTCACGGTTCTCCGATACAACCTACCATTTCCCTCCCTCATTAAATCTTTTTGTATATTAACCACATTTCTCCTTTCTCAACACCCTCTCCCTTCATCCATATCTCGAATACTTACACAATGGCCCTCTTCGGTTCCTCCTCCGCCACCGCCGAGGCCTCCTCCCCATCCACCAGCCAGGAGATCAAGGCCTCGCTCATCCGTCAGGTCCAGGAAGAGGCCGCCATGAGCAATGCCCGAAGCCTGATCGGCGTATGTCTCCCTCCCTCCCATTCCTCTGACTTACTTATCTTCCAACCTCCGAGTCATACCCAGCACCCAGCACCCAGCACCCAGCACCCCTTCGTTTCCATTGCCATGCCCACAAAATCTAACAACCCACCACAGAAGGTCAACGAGCACTGCTTCGACGCCTGCGTCCCCACTCCCGGCTCCTCCCTCACGGCTAAGGAGTCCACCTGCCTGTCGCAATGCATGGAGAAGTACATCGGCTTCTGGAACGCCAGCAGCCGCGCCTACATCGCCCGTGTCTCCAAGGAATCCAAGAGCCTGGGCGGCGCCGACCTGTCCGGTGTTTCTCTGTGAGCGGAAGCAGATGCTCAGAAAAAAAATATAAACAACGTTTTTCCCTCTCTGTATTTCTATAGTTTCTCGGAGTCGAATACCTTTTTTCAAGTCTTCAAACCGAGACATCTGGGTAAAAGAACAAGAAGAAGGGGCTATGTCGGTTGGGTTTCGGCGTTAACTGTTCATCCTCCTGTATCACGGGAATTGTGGTAGTGGTGTCAGTGAGCAGCAGGCCTGAGAGCTGATGGTTTTCTTCTGAGCTTGTGACGCGCGTTGCGTGAAGCGGGAACCCAGGATACAAGGCATTGTGGGGTTCGTGTTTCCTATGTACACTATCGGGTGGTCATTGAAGAGAGCCCTTACACTTGCTCTTTGGAAAGGACAGGGTCAGGCGATTTGCTCGAATTTAAAAGAGTCTCTTCAGCCATTCCAATATCTAGGTCTTTTCTTCTCTTGTCTTCTCTTGTCTTCTCTTCTCAAACGTCGACTACCGAGTGGTAGTCGTGTTGTCCACGTATCTCCAAGGTCGACTTTTATAGCTATTAGAAAATCCCCAATTGTATGTACATGACACAATAGCCTCCACACGCGACACGGAAAGAGAAACGATCCAAGAAAACCCGAATATATCCCCATATTTGCACAACATAGATAACAGAAAAAAGCACGACACCAATTCAAAGAGCGGTCGTGGTTGATTGGACAGCAGACCTGCGCCCCCGCAAGATTCAGCACCGCCACCGCAGTAAGTAACTCCAGCCACATCCCTTCGTGATGACAACCAGCAGCAGAAAGTAAGCAAGCCATAGGCAAAGGACGGTGTTTTCTTGCTCGAGCAACCGTGCGTGTCGAAACCGAGTCGCACCTATAAATCATCAAGAGAGATAGGAATCGAGGGACGGGAACGGAGAAAAGACTGAGCCAGTTCCCAGGAGAGAGATAAAGAGATATATGAACAGGTTAAGACCATATTGTTATATGCTCTAAAGTCTGGAAGCAGCCAAGGCTTGATTCGGCCAGCGATCATGGAAACAGACAAGCCGACGCAGAGCAAAATCATCGCAGCAACAGTGATAAATGATAACTCAAGATATGGCTATTTTAGGAGATAGCCTCGGGAGATAACTCCGGGGAGGATTATACCCGCTCTTAAACGCCCCCGGAACCATCAATCGACTCGATTCCGCAAGAACAAATCCATGGAAAAGCGGGATATCATCTCATCATGAACCATGGCGACCATTAGAAGTCGGGGAAAAGATGACCGTGACTTATCTCAAGTTAGCAAGGCTAAACGCGAAAGGGAATCAACCGGGAATACATACGGATCTTCTCCACCCATGCCGTACTGTTCCGTCTCCTCGGGATACCGGTCGTACTGGCTGGCGTCACCTTGCCCACCCCGGATGGGCGGCACATAAGGAGCATCGATATCCTTCCGAGCCAGGCGGTCCCAGGTAACCTCGGCGAACCAGGGGTGGTTCTTCACATCCTCAGAGCCTCCATGAAGGTTACCCAGACGCTTGGTGAGGTCCGCTGTGATGAGCTGCGATAGCAAATCGACGGCATCGGGATGCAGGTAAGGCGGGTATTTGACTCTGCCTCGCAGGATGTTCTCATAGATCTTCACAGGGGAGCCGCTGTCCCAGAAAGGTGTGAAACCGCAGAGCATCTCAAAGATCAAAATTCCCAATGACCACCTTTAGTAAAGTTAGCAGTGCTGCAGGACCACTAGCGGATAGCTCCTTACCAGTCCACGGATTTGTTGTAGCCCTTGGAAGACACGACTTCCGGGGCCAAGTAATCGGGGGTTCCACAGAGGGTCCATGTGATGTCAGGAACCTCCTTCGCGAAACCAAAGTCGGTGATCTTCAGGTGTCCGTGCCGATCCAGAAGCAAGTTCTCGGGCTTGAGATCTCGGTAGATGATCTGCTGAGAGTGGAGGTACTCCAGGGCAAGGGTCACCTCAGCGGCGTAGAACTTAGCGACGGGATTAGGGAACCGCTGAAGCTTATTAGCACAGACTCAGGGAAGGACTCCGAGACCACAGAGCATTGTGCGACCACCTACCTGGGACTTGCGCAGCAGACTGAAAAGTTCACCACCCTCTACAAAGTCCATGACCATATACAGGTTGCGCGAATCTTGCCAGGTACCCCAGAGAGTGATCAGGAATGGATGCCTGACCCGGTTCAGCATACGACGCTCGTCGTTGGTGTGCTCGATTTGCTTCATCTTGACCACCTGCGCCTTCTTCAACACCTTGATGGCATAGAAGCGATGGTTGTGCTTGGACTGCACTAGATGAACACGACCAAAACTGCCGGTCCCCAATGTGCGCTGCAGAATGAAATCATCTAGGGAGTATTTTCCCTTGGTGGTACGAGCATCATTGCGATTGGCTGATTGACCCTGCGCCTGGCTGCCGGAGCCAGAGTGCGTTGAGCCCTGCTGGGAGGAGTGAATTATGTTCTGTATGCTGGCGGCATTGACATTGGACTGTGAAACACCGGAGGTGTGTTGAGAAGGCGACGCTTGCGACACGGTAGATTGCATGGAGACTGGTTGACCCTCGTTGGATTGATCGGCTGTGGAAGAGCGGTTGAGCTGGTTGGCGGCCGAATTTTGCGGCTGATTTGCGGGGTCAGCGGTAGTGGCGGAATTGGAGGCAGGTTGCTGGTGCTCTTGCTGGTTTTGCTGCTGATTTTGCTGCTGGTGGTGGTCGGGATTATTGTGGTGGTGGTGAGTGAGATAGTGAAGAGGGTTATGGTGGTGGTGGTGGTTGTGGTTGTGGTTGTGGTTGTGGTCGTCTTCGGCAGCGTTTGGTGACGTCTGCGTCTGGGCCGAACCGGCTTCAAGCTCTTTAGAGAGGGTCTGCGAATCCTTAGTTCGCCGCTTCTTCAACAGACCTCCTAAACTAGGCATCGAGAAGAGAAATCTGAAACAAGTTTGAAATGTAAAACGAACACACAGACCATACACGAAGGTCTATGTGGGAGTAAATAAGAAGTTGGAGGATTTGGGGGATACGTTGAGGGGAAGGGAAGGGTTGAGGGAGGGGACGGAATTGTGTGCACGACACGAGAGAAGAGTAGTTAGTTAGTCTCAGCCCCTCTTTTGCAGCACCGCAACTGCACTTTTCGGGGAGGGCAAAAAGGGAGTTGGAGGGGGAGGGGAACAGCAAAGGAGGGGGGACCCGAATTGATTGAGACGTGGGCAACAAGCAGCCAGCTTTTTTTTTCCTTTCCTTTTTTTTTTCTGACTTTAAGTTCTTTCCCTCTCTTGACTCAACCAGCTCTTTTTCTTTTGGAATGGATGGTTCGGGCGCGGATACAGCGGAGCCACCCAAGCAGAAAGTCTCAACTCTGAACTGAGACGGCGGTCAACGGAAACTCAATTGGGTCGAAGGATGGATACAAGAAGAATTGATCAATCTCTTGACTGTTTGACGGTGCGGAGAAGAACGAGGAGGAGGCAGAAAAAGTACGAGAAGAGCAGACAGAAAGACCGAGAAAAGAAAGGGACTTAATAGGAAGAGGAGGTTGGAACAAGGGAAGCCAAAACAGCTGGAAGTTAACCTCTCAAGAGGAAGAGGAAGAAGAAGAAGAAGAAGCGGGGTTTGGATTTGCGTCAAGCTCAAGGCTGGCTGGGCATCATTTAGTACTGTCCTTACCTAGATGTACTTAGCTCCAGTTAGATCAGGGATAATGTTAATGGGGCCTGGCTATATCTTAGTAGACAATTGTTATAACTACAGGTGCAGGCACTGTCTGTCCACTACACTGCCTAAGTCCGATCTCCATCAATAGACTAGCTGAATGACAAGCATTGTCTCTCTCACTCATGAATCAACACCTCCCGAATAAACACCGACCACCCGACACCATCTAGACCTGATCGGTCCGTCCTTCCACGAGTTCGAAGGATGGAAGGATAATGATCTTGAAGATAGACTAACTAATTACTATATCATCATGACCTGTTTTTCCCACCGATGCTCATAACCCATCAAAGTCGCCACGAACCATGGACCAGGGCCCTCTGGGAGATGTCATACTCATCATTCACATCAATCTCTCATCAAGCTCCGATGAGATGAGGTCATCATCCCTCCGTTCTCAGATCGGCTGTTCCGATGATTATCGACCAATTGATGGAGCGATTCCGCCAAGGGTTAAAATCCGTCCTGACGTGATAGACCGAGTATGCCTTCAGTAAAAAGTACTGTCCAACATGGAACAGTGTACTGTAGTTAAGTGGTTACTCTTGGTTCCCTGCTCCTTCCTCAATGTTTCAAACTCTCTTTTCCCACTCAGCAACCGCCCACACGAGATATGACATGCATGTCACTCTGCACTTGAAGCTGCATTGATCCGGTTGTGAAACGAGAGGGTTGATAAGGGGGAAGGTACATGAGTCCACTCAGTTCCGGAGTCAACGTGGCACGCTCTACTCCCTACAGAAGAACACTGTGAATACACTGTATGGATCATTCAAAGTTACCAGTGGTTACCAGTGAGAGTTTGAGAGTCAGTCAAACTGGCCTGGCGGTGACTTCATCACTGACCGCCCCGCCTAAATGGATATACTCAGTAACTACTACTCATACCTCCAAGTGGTCTAGTGCCAATCTAGCTGAGTCTAGTCTAGCTTAACTTGGTTGTGGATCGCCCCGCTTTCGGGGGGTTTTTTTCTTCGGTCTCGTCCACCCTGTTAAGCTTCGATTTCAGTGGTTGAGCCTGCGCCTATCCGTCTACGCATGTATGTTTCGGGTGAGCAGGCCCAGACTATGGGACGCTTGCATCTGTCCTCCTCTCTCCCCATATTCGCCATATGGCTTGCCTGCCCATGCTGTGGCATGCGTCTTGTCTTGTGTTACACTGACTTAGAACCTTAATCCTTCATCATTGCTAGTTGTCGGTCCGTTGATTACTCAACAGAAGTATGTTTTTATGTACGGTATTTCGAATGCCATCACGGCTGAATTGAATAACGAACCCACCCCCTCCCCCACCGACCAAGAAAAAGAACACAAAATAAATGAACGCCCGCTGCACTCCATGCCAAAATGCTGTTTCATCCCCAATGATGATCACCCTCCCCGCGTAACAAAAATACAATGGGCTAGAAAAGGCCCGCATGCCTAGATGCGATAATGGGCCATATTTTTCTTGATCTCATCCACGATTTCCACCGCTTCGAGAGCATTGCGCGCCTCGAAGTCATACCGTTTCTGCTCGTTGGCATCGTTGCCGCGCAGAACCACCACCCGGAAGTTCTTAGGGTGTCGTCGACTCACTTTGCACCCCACTACGTCGTTGAAGCTTATCGACCGCGTCTTCGTGTCGGATACCGTCTTGCCCGTATCCGCCGGCATGATATGCATGTAATCGTTGTCGAACGTCAAAACCCGATGGTTGGACTGCGTGAACGACATAGACTGTTTGCGCCACACGTAGTATCGTCGATAGTAGCCGCCAGTAAGGTCTTGTTTCTGAGGGAGAGGGTGAAGCATACGCTGGCCGCTCTTCTTTCCTTTCTTAACCGGAGCGGTGTTGCTGTCAATGAGAAGGGGCGCATTGGGCGATGAGCTGCCCGGAGAGCCAGTCATTTGAGGTCCGAATCGCCGGCGCACGAGGTCTAGGTCGGTGAGATTGCCCAGAGCTTCCACTGTTCGGTCCAAAGGTGCGATTGTACTGGATCCCATCACCTTCAGCAGGTAGTTGCCCTTGTCAAGGCCCCAGCGTTTGCACACGGAGTCAAGAATCTCAGCAATGTAGCTATCAGTTGAGGTATTGAGTGTCATTACCTGTGTCGAGGCCTCTACGTTGGTGTATCGGATCTTCAACGTTTTGGAAACCCCTAGGCGAGGGGTAGCATGAGACGTAGGCACAGCTGGCCGATCGGCAGGTGTCAAAGTATTGTCGTTCAGAGCCGAGGAAAAGGGTTGTCCAAGGATAGGGTTCGGACGAGGCGCCTTGGCCTGTGGCATAGGCTGGCTTGTCGGAGCAGGTGCACTTGCAGCAACATCGGCACTACTATCCTCCGAAGATGGTGCC